CTGGGAAAGCATTAGTCAAGAGGGCAAATCTGGAAGCCTACACGGCAATGCTGCTGTTTGCTGACGGTCTCCACTCTGCATCATGGCAGACACCTAAGCATGTGGAGTCCTAAGAAGTCTCTCACAGCTGATGTTTCCATAAGCAACATAGAAATGCGATAGCTATAAACAAATAATTCTAAATTTTGCAATATGCATTTAATATAGGAAGATTAAATGCACCTAAATTACAGTGTATTTTCAAGTCATCCCTTGGAAGCACCCTGAAGCAAGCCCACCCTGAATTTTCAGCTGTTTCTGATCCTAGTTGAGAGATAAATCTGGAGTGTGTAGTTGGGGACGTCTCTTCTGCCACTACTTTTAGGCTGAACATTGAAAATTAGACAAGTGGTTTCATTTTGCAGAGATGCTGAGCAGAAATCCACTGATTTAAGTGGGCTGCAGTTTGCGCTCACCGCGGAATACACCTAACAGCATTTTTGACAGACACCTGTATGGACTTTGCTGGAGTTTGGAGCTTCCCCTAAAGCCACCCAAAACAAGGAAAAAACTTGCAAAGCAATATTTGTTGAGAAGAACTAATTTTGAAATGAGCTACTGACAAGAACAAAGTATGACCAATAGATTTAGTTGGGTCTTATTTGCCTAAAGAGACTCAAGCCAAACTGACCTGTTGACTGTGTAGACAGTGTCCACCAGTAGATCAGTAGGACTTGCACCCCTGGTTAATCACCTACTGTGGGCAGATGCTGTTTCTGGGAATCAGTCGTGCAGGTGGCTACCAGGGTTGGCTCCGTACGCCTCTGCCTGCTTAATGAAAACAGCCTGAATTAATTACAAAAATAAAAGAGAAGCTATCCCAGTTTGGGCTGGCTGAGGATCTGACCCACAATATTCAAAATATATTTTTGGGGTGCTAGAAAACCGATCTGATTTTTGATTGAGACACAAGAAAATAATTCAAAAGAAGCAGTCAATCCTTACATATATTCTAACAGCCCATCTGTTAAGATGTTTTGCTATGTCTCTCCATTTCAAGATTTCAATGATTTGATGTGATAGCAGTCATTATATTTCACTAACTTTCGAAGAACTAACTTGTTAACATTTACTAACTGAACAGGGATACACTAGATTGCAATAAAATTTTCAGACAAAGCTTTTTTCCTTTACCTTCAAATATCAACACTGTTAGTCCTGTTTCAGCAAAGTCTGCTCTGTGAATGTTTATTCTACTGAGAAAAAATCTAAAAAAAAAGGATAAACTTTCAAAGATAAATATGCTGACACAAAATTCAGCACACAACATGAAGAACCTCATACTACCTAATTGTGCAGAGAGTGATAATTTGCCACTGATTAAAGAGTTTGTATTTTTTTCAAATCTTTTTTAAAGAGAAAATTACTTCTGAAGGTGAAGATGTGCTTAGACAATCATATTAACATATTCAAACAATTGCAATTTGCAAAATAGTAATTACAACTCACTATCTGGTAGCATTAATCAAACTTCAAGGTTTAATTCCATTTTAAATATTGATGAAATGTGATTCTCCAATCTAACCCTGGTGTTGCAGGGTTATGGAAGCAGCCAGTGACAGAAAAAGAGGAACGTGTAGTTAACAAGCAGCTGCCACAAAGAAGGATCGGCATCTGTGATTTAAATTGTTAGCTGCACAGTCAGGTAGAGTGTAAAAAGGGTAGTCAAGAGGCTGTTAAGTCCATTGCTGCCAATTACTAACAATCAGGGAGGAGCTTTAAGACTTGTTCAGTACAATAAACCCAGTTTGTCTTGTTTCAGGGGTTACTACTGAAGAGGTTGCAGCTGCACTGATTCAAATAGCCCTAAAACTACAGTAATTATCAACCAGTCTTCTTTAGTGTAGCAAAAGTATGTTTTACCATAGCTTAACTCTTTACATTCTAATATTTCCCTGCCTCTTCTCACATAGCTAGCCCCAGAGCCATTCTCATCTCTGGGTCTGTGGTTCTTCTCGCTATGCTGGATCAGTTCTTTCATTTCCCCTTATCTAGACCGAGGACCAGTAGCACGGTGCACGGGGTTGGGTGGCAGTTCTAGGGATTTGCTTTAGGTTGTTTTTTGGAATATCGAGTCGTTACATCTATTTTCCCTTTTTGCATAAAAAGTTGAAATTCATATAGCTCATTCAGTTTGTGCATCTGATTAAACTCTATGCAAGTTAAGCAGCGCTTATGAACAGGTATTTAATTTGCATGGGATTGGATCACTGCATGAACCGAGACATTTTGGGGTGGGTCTAGGAAGGCTAAAATCCTTAGAGCAACTTGTCCTGTGTGCTTTCCTGGGAGACCATGAAAACCCAGAGTGTGGAAGGAAACAACCTAGGCAAACCAAGGGTCTGTTGGAAACCTGTTATATGAAGCCAAGTTAACACCTGCCTTTCTTAGGGCTCGCACCCCTGACGCTCAGCTAAGTGAGCGCTGTAGATTTCTCACTAGGAAGGCAGACTGATTATTTCCTGTAGTCAGGTGAGCCACGTATATCTGTACCGAAATATTGGCTAGACAGTGGTGATGTATAGCACGTGTCAGGTTTTTTTATTCCTTCACCATGACAGAAATAGACAAAGTTTCATTTTTGTGCAATTATTACAAGCTCCGATAAACTGTTTTTTAGTTAAGGTGGTTCCAGCTAAAATCACAGAGCTACCCAGGCTGGACAATATCTGTTATAGCTGAGGCTCATGTGATCACATCGTTACCGTGCTGGAACACCTAGTGCATAGAACAAAAGCCAGCACATTGATTATGGCTTTGATGTTGTTTTTAAGAAAGCTTAAGAACCACATTTGCATTCCTGCTGCAGCCCTCAGTGGAATCTCTGCCTCTGTAAGGATTGCTCGGTCTTTAAGCGAGATTCAGTGCTCATCTTTTTAATTTCCCTTTTAGCATATTTTTCAGCATTTATTTTCTCCTAGCTTATGCCCGAATAAGAAATGTGCTACTACCAGGGTATTTTGTTATGGACCTATTGATTCATAGGCATGGGGAAGAAAAAAGAAATCACGTCAGTAAAACACAGAAAGAGCTGAACTTGGCTATTCTATCCAAATGGTAAAACCATTTTTCAGTCATTAGAGCAAGCCTGCAGGCTGAGCTGGTGGAACAATGGCAGCACCAGCGGGTTCTCCTACCCATTCACTGTCATTGGGGCGCTGCTCAAAGGTGGGTGCTCACCACCAAAACCGAGCTTTTGCAAGCCAATACCCTTGAGTGGAACACAAGAAGAGGGTCAGTAGGCACTGGAAACCAGTGACTGTATGCAAAGAGCAAACTGGAGAGCGGGCTCTTAGGGAAAACCTCCTGTGAGTCACCAGCCTTTCTGACTACTGGCTCTCCAGGGTGACAGATGAGTGCTGCTGCCATTCAGCCGAGGGACAAATGCCTTGGCACACGCTTTCTGTAAGCCTGCTTTCACCGGGATGCCAACAGAGCTGCACGTGAGCAGCACCTCAGGAGGGGCGAAGGCATGCAGGCAGTTCACTCAGCCAGGAATGAGAAAAGGGGAATGGTAGCATGGAAAAAAAAAAAAAAAAAAAAAAAAAAAGGAAGAAAAAAAGGGAAAGACAAAGCTAGCTTGATTCAAAACCCATTGCAATCACAAAGATTAACCTCCCAGCTTGTGCATCAGACCTGATTAGTCACGTACCCTTCTGTGAACTTTCACTTCTTAGCACAACTTCATTCCCAAGACCATCCCACCTTTTGCGTTTCAAATGCTACTGTGTCGCTTTAACTTCAGGGTACAACTCCAAAGTCAAAAGATCTCCATGAAAATTTGACTCCTTACAAGCCCCATGCTGCTTTCTCGATCTATTTTGACCTACCTAGGCAGGGCGCTCAGCTGTGTAAATAAACAGGACTGTGCGCTCTGCCAGGCGGTGGTCACAGTGCCGGGGCTACAGCCCCCTTGGCTCCAGCCTTCTCACAAGCCTCTGTTCTTTCAGGTAATAAGGGCTGCTACAAACCCCTTAAAATTAAGATGGAGGCAGGTTTGAAACACACGTCACAAGCAGCTGATATGAATTTGTTAAGACAGTGGTAAACACAGGAAGCAGCTCTAATACATTCCATTTATATAAAAATAAATACAGGTATTGCTTTAAGTAATATGCTGATTTTTTTCAAGGTTTTTTGAAGTTTGTTTTTCCTTGTCTACTACATAGATCTCTTTTTCCCTACACAAACACAAAAGAAAAGGCTGCAGAACAGTTTTTGGAGACAAGACTCTTAAAATCCCTGGAATTAGGAAGCCCACAACTTCACATTTGCTGAGTTATTTTTTGTAATCATACACAGAATTTCTATTCAAACTTTGCTGGACAGTTGTTTTTTCCTACATTGTCTTTGATTTTTTTTCTTTCCACACTGTCATTATGCTCTGAGAATAAACACGACAGACATGAATACTAACAAGGGACACAGAAGATGGTCTAAACCACGTCTATCAGCCACTATATCAGCTTATTGATACCTGTCATAACATGCATTTCAAAAACAGCATCGAGAGAAAAGCTGGAAGTCACGAACCTAGGTTTTGACTAGATTTTTCTTTACCTTCACTTTTCATAAATCAACAAGCAACACAGACATAGTATTTAAAAAATGTGTATCTTCATTTCTGATAGTTTCAACATATCTCCCGCACATCTCCTGCCCAAAAAGTAAAAAAATAAAATTTATACATGTAAATCTTGCAGTTCTGCCCAAGCTAATCTTATCAAGCAGGTGAATAATCGGTGTCATTGCCATAGATCCAGTACCTCCTGCCTTGACAAATTCCAAAACAATAGGACACAATCTTTTAAAGAAACAAAAAAATGTGTTCTGAGAGATGCCAATGGCTAAAAATGGGTTTATTTCTCAAAGGAAAAATTGCTTGTTTGAGCTGGACCCTAGCAATGCAAAGAGCAGCTCTGACATGGTGATATCTGGCATTCTCTTTATCTCCCTTTTAGACGATGATGAGCATGAATGGATCATTCGGACCTGCCGGAAAGCTTCAGATGAAACAACTGAATATAAACCAAACCCGTGAAAACAGTTTTTGCTAGACGATAATATTCCAACGCAGGTAATCTGATTCACAATAAATCTAATTTGTCCTCGTGGCTTTGTCTCACCCTTTCCCTCCACAGGAACATAATCTTTTTGTCATCCTTGTCAGCACAAACAAAAATTGAAATAATCATTTAATCAGTCATGCTGAGAAAAAGCCATGGAAAAAAAGCAGACTGTACTCACAATAATATTCCTGAGAGGTGTGTAGTGTAGTATATATAAACGTTATTAAGCCTGAAAACAATTTGTTAAAAAGAGTGCCTCAGATTCAGTGTTGAAGTCATTCAAATCCATCTTAATCAACATTATTTTCCCAGATTTTAGTTAGCTGTCCTGGTGAATTCCTTTCCTCTCTTTTTGCTCAGTACGTTGATATTGATTGATCATTGTAATAATGTACACCAGAGGTATTCTTTAATGACTGGTTTGCTAACTAGGAAATTATATCCATTTACTACGAACGTTTGTTGAACTCTCCTGAAGCCAGAGTTTAACAAAATAATAAAAGAGGAAAACTGGGTGGGTTGCTGCTTGATTAGTAAGCCAGAAAGTATTTAAAAATAAAATAAAATGGAATTACATCATTTTCTGGATGTAAGTGCCAGCACTTCTACTTGCATTAACTTTATTTATTACACAAATAAGACATTTACAAAGCACAACATTAAAAGTATGTAACAAAACAGACATTGGTTTTACAAAAAAGTGCTTACAATTTAGTTTTACTTTTTTAAAATAAATATTAGTCTTGACTGTCCACTCATTCAGAGAAATTTTTTTTAACCATTGTAGCCAAGACATGCAGAATTGCAACATGCTACAACAAAATGATTGGCGGATGAAATAAAACTGATGTGTCTATAGTTGGCATCCTACAGATATATCACTGATAGTAGTGCAGGATTTGTTCCCACTCCCCTGTCCCAACTAGTAAGTTGTGTAAGCACCTTTAACTCGGGCATTGGGGTTAACCAGCATGAGCCAAAAAAAAAAAAAAAAATTGGCAGTAAAACTGTAAACCATTCCACTTTCAGACCCTAGCCATATTTAGTTACCTTATTAAACTAGAGTGAAAAGCCTTTCACTGGCTATCTTCATTGCATTTTGTCTGCAAAAGGTTTTGTAAATAGCAACTGGAAAAGTTTAGTACGTGGAGTCTGCATTGCTGCACCAGAACCCATTTGGCAATTACTGAATAAACTAAGAAAATGAGAATGATTTTAATTTTATTTTTTTTAAATCTACAGACAGGAGATGAATGCAAATGACCTGAGATAAGGTTTGGTTCAGTGGCAACAGTCAGTGTGAAATATGTTGTGAAACAATGTATTGAATAAATTAGAGGATTTCTTACATTCTTGGTACAGTTGACTATTTTCCATACACATAATTAGCTCTAAAACTGCACAAGCTGAATTGCTTCCAGTTTTTTTTTTTTTTTTTTGCAAACAATTTGGGCTTAATATAAACAGAGCCTGATTTCTGAATTAGCAAAGCTGCTCCTGGCTACTTACGGGGGAAGGTGCCCCGGAGCACAGCCGGTGCGGGGCAGCTCGCCCCACGGGCGCTGGGGAGCCCACTGCCACGGCGAGAAGCCCCCGCGCTCCCTCTGCTTTGCACTCCGGTCCTGTCGGCGGTATCGGTTACAGAAACTTTGATATACAGTACATTTCACGGGTGGCTTTTTTTTTTTTTTGATCCGTAACTTAAGTTGATATTTAGCAGATACATATTTAACAGCTTCCCTTTCATTGCACCGCCGAGACAGAAGAGAAATGCATCAAACCGTTTTCTCCCTCGACAAAACAGTTGTGGAAATCTCAAGTACTGTGGGATGTCAGGTCAAGTTACAGCCTGAAGTCTCTCCTTCAGTCTTAAATAACTACCCATTCGTTTATGGCACCAATTCCACAACGAAACGATCGTTAGGATGCCCGAGCACAAACGGAGAAGCAAGCCGGGCCGCGGCGACCCTGCCGCCCGCCGCCAGCGCGCGCGGGCGGCCGCAGCAAAGCCCCCGCAACCAGAGGCTCCACCAACGGCCGGCGACGGGGACGGGGACAAAAGTGACTGCAACGGGTGCAACTGGTGATGCCCCCTCCCCGAGGGGACGGCCCTGCGGCAGTGGCTCCGGCCAGGTCAGGCGCGCGGGAGCGCCTTGTCGCTGGCTACACACTGGGAACGGTTATTCGCACGTCAGGAGGTGACAATAAGACTTCGCAGACTTAATTTCCTCTCTCCTTTCACATGTTTTTTTAAATCGGGGATAGAGCTGCTAGCTGCTGGTTGCAATTAGACAGAATACTGGCCTAACTGTCCAAGGTATTACCATCGCACACGCTCTGCATTTTTTGGAAATATATATACATACACACACACAGAGAGGTATGTGTGTGTGCGTGCGCGTGTGTGTATATATATACCTCTGTATATATTTGTTCCAACGAGCATCAATGCATGCTTGTACTCGGTCATTTCTCAAACCAAGAGATCTCGGTGGCCACCCCAGCAGACACCCGCGCCGCCTCGCGCCGTTCCCCGAGCGGCGAGCGTGCCCCGCGGCCGGGCGTCAGCGTCACACGGAGCGCGGGGGGCACGGGCGGGAGAAGGCTTGCCGTGCGTGCAGTGCGGCCTGGCCGAGCCCCGGGGCTGGCTGACCACCCGGCCGACGGCGGAGACTGATCCAGCATCTCCCAGAGAGAAAAACACGTGTTATCTGCAGTTCGAATTGAAAACAAGTTACGTAACGGATGGATTCCTGTCTTCTGTTCCTCAGGCACAGTTCAGTCCTCTTACGCGCTAACTGTGGCTCATAGTAGGCTTTCACATTCTTGGAAACGTGGCCTCACAGACACTTAGCAGCAAGGCAGACCCCTGTGCTTGCGCGGAGAGAGGTTTCGTTACAGACCTGCTCTTGGCGTGGTGCAAACTGAGAAGGGCTGGCAAAGGCTACTTGTTTACTTTTTGTTATTACCGTCAATGAAGGATCATTTCGGAGTTTTTTCCTGATTTGGGGCCAGACTGCTGAGCGCTTCCTTTGCTGTTGCAGCGAGCCCTGCGGTGCCTGCCCCGCCGGCGGCAGTCCTCCCGGGCTGCGCCTTTGTCCCGGGGCTTGGCAGGAGCCGCGGCCGTGCTCCAGCAAGGGAGCACAACAGGAGGGCCGAGGGGAGCGCAGCCGTGCTGCCAGATAAAGGAACATGCCATCACCTTGCTGTCCGCTCAGCTAGCCACTGGCTCCTGCTGGCCTTACTGCGGTTTTCGCCTTTTTAACTGGTCTCCACTTTCTACCCCGCTGTTTCCACTGACCGAACTTGGGTCCACACCAGGGCAGAACATTTCTACGCCTTTACGGCCAGCTTCCATTGACGATTTCCCAGAGTGTGGAGTGTCTGACAGTTTTGTGTAGGTACATTCTGAAATCACCCATTTGTGATCCAATATGACTCCAAGGAAATAAAGTAGCTTGTTAAAAAAGAACAAGAGTAAAAACTAAAAAAAAAAAAAAAAAAAAAAAAAGAAGAAGATTTGGCAGATGGCTGTGAGAGAGATATTCAGTGTTCTAAGAACGAGTCAGCAATCAAAAACTTCAGGGTGCTAAACCTGGCTCTGCCACCAACCCCCACGGTTCCTTTCAGTTTAGGACATCTCAGTTTCCCCTCCTATAAAACGGGGGGGAAAAACACTAAGATTTACTTACCTTAGAGTGATCAAAGGACATGTGATTCTAAAGCACTTTGAGGAGGAAGAAAAACTGCCTATTTCCAGCTGGCATCGTGTTTTCCACTTAGTGGAGTCTCAGCCACCCGCGAGTTTGGCTCAGGAAGGTCTGTGTATATATCGAGTTGCTGAGACAAAAAGCCCATTTCAGATTTCACACGTGCAAGTGGAAATAAGGAGGGATGTCCGGGAACCGACAGCGCTTCACTGGTGCAAAAAGAGAATCAGGCCAAACCACGTAAATTCCTCCTTCCTTTATGTTCAGAGGTGATCATCGACCCCCCCCGAGACTCAGCATGTTCTGGTTTGTTCATATTCCCATGGGTTTGGGAGCAAGATTTGCAAGCACAGTAGAGTCACTAATTTTGACTGTGTCTGGCATCGCCTTGGAGAGACTCACGGTCATTCTACAAGTCCACAAGAAACAAGTGAAAAATGTAACTCTGCACTCAACACACACATACACAGAGTGTCGCTGGAGAAATAATAGTGGATGTTAGGTGCTGGTCAATGGAAATAACTGAGAATGCTGGATCTGAGTTTCTCCTGCGTGACTGATAACAGTTGCCTTGGGCTGGGCGCTGTGTTTCAGCGGCTGAGGGGCAGTGGTGCTGGTAGCGCCATGGGCAGATGAGGAAGAGTTCGCGCAGTCAGTACTGAAAGAGGATGACCTAGTGGGAAAAACGGGAATCGAGCGTTAGCTCCTTTCCGAGGCAGACAGCCCTCGCGATGGAAACGTGCTGTCGGGGACCGACGGAACAGCCGCGTGCCCCGCGGGCGCCCAGGCAGCCGCTTCCCCCTGGAAAACCCTCCGCGGAGCCGGAGCCTGGCCGGGAGCCGCCGGCCCTGCCCGAGGAGAGGGGCCGGCCGGGACAGGCGGCAGCCCGAGAGCGAGCTGCACCTCCGGGCACAGCGAGGGCCGGGAAGCGGCACCACACCGGGCAACACACCGACACCGGTATTTATTTGCTCCGTGACACGGCAGCTGCCGAGAAGGATGAAGATCACTGCCAACGGTCCTCACTCTACCTCGCTTGCTCGCCAGCACGGGCTTCCCTCACGCTGCTGCACCTCGCTGCTCGGCAAACCCAGCGCCCACCCTTGCCATCAGGCCGCGGAAGCAGCCTCTGAGCTGGTCACCGATCGGTTCTTCCACAGCCCCTGCGCTGGGGACCCCGAGAGGAGAGGGGCTGGGTGCCCCACGGGCAGAGGGAAACAGAGACTCAGCGTTTACATGTGTTTTCCCAGGATCTCAGCTATCACTGCTTTTAAAAAAAATTTTGGATGTGGAAAAAGAGGCTGCTTCAGGTTTCAGGAACTCAACATGCAAGTGATTGTTTGGAAAAAGAGCTGGTTGGGGGGGAAGCTCCGTGTCCTGAGAACCCAGTTCTACAACAGCTGCGAGCAAGGAATGACTTTTAAATCACAGGAGCTACTTGCTGCAGTGAAGTTTCTCTGAATGACAGCACCAGGACTGTGTAAGATTTTCCAGCTCGCTTGCAGATATCATGACAAAATGGTAGTGTTTAGACTGAAAAAGTAACTTTGCTGTGCCCCTGCTTGTGCTTAGCGAAACAGAGCTCAATATGCTACCGTTGCTGCACCGAATAGAGAGATTTGAAAAGAGATGCTGAGAACTTCTAACAGTAAAGACAAATGCTAAAACCAGTAAGAGTTGCCAAAGGCTCAGTGTTTCCTCAAAGCAAAGCCACTTAAACTTGGATCCTAAATAAATTCTCGTGAGCCTAAGCATGTTTCAGAATTCTTGCCCCAAAATAAGCTGTGTGTTAGAACAGACAAGATATTTTAAATGCTGAACAGAAAAATATCAATATGCAATACTGTTTCCTGGCCAGACATTGTGAAATAACATTCCTACTTTAGTTATTGTAACAGCCAGTTGTTATTTTTTTAAGCAATACTGGAATCCCCAAGAAATTAATCTTTCTTATGGAAAACTGGAAAGTTATCGCAGGATAAAAGTTCCCCCTGCTCCGTTGTTAACGGCCAGTCGCTGTTTGCACCGACAGCGCGTGCAGAGGGACGGAGCAGGAGAAGGGAGCTCGTTGCACAGGGGAAGGGGAGAAATCAGAGAGAGAGGAGGTCAGGTAGGAGGATGTCAAAAGCCTTCAGCGAATGCAGGCACAGCATCCCAGCACATCACGACAACGAGGGGTATTTAGTGAAGAGCAACGTGATGCCATTTTGACCAACAGTTGGTGCATCCATCTAGGGCCACCGAAATTAAGAAGAGACACATGAGTGGGCGGCGGCTGGCAGAGATCATGGAGAAGCGGTGATGCTGACAAGAGACAGCAGTGGCAATGGTGTCACACAAAAATCTTTGCTACAGTTGAGGTTTGGCCCCAAAGCCTGAAACAGGGACTACAATTACCTTCTCACCCCTATTAGATAGTGGTCCTTCCATGTCTGCTTTGAGGTGCACTGGTGGAGCAGTGTAGGGAAGTCTACAGTGCACTTGTCCACACTGTACCTGACCTGTGGATGAGAAGAGGCTTCAGCCTCTGTTACTACAAACAACACACACCCTCCAACCGGCACGGCCAGGCTTCCACCGGGGAGCGGACGGGACACGCGTGGAAGAAGAGGTGCCCGGTGGATCAGGCGGAGGGGCAGCAGGACGCACGTTTTGCTACCGCTCACGTGGGCGAGGGAGGGGAGAAGCCTCACGAGAAACACGGAGCCAAAACCTCCGTCCAGACATGACCAAAGCTGCCTGCCACTCGCAATGATTCACCGGCGCTTGGCAACTGTTAGAGAAAGCAGCTCTGATCTTGTGAGCAGGAAGGAGACCACTTGACCACCGAGCTCAACGGGGCACATTCACGCCTCTTTCTCCATGACAAAGAAAACACAAGGAGGGCCAAGGAGCAGGCAGGTAGAGCCCAGGCAGTGACTTTCCTGGGGATGAGGTATGGAGGGAAAGAGGCTGCAGCAGCCCCCCCTCTCCCCTCCTTCCTCACAAACAGCCCTGCAGCAAATCCCAAAGACAAAAGTCCATCAGCTACGAGGAGGAGGAGGAGGAGCAGCCCGTGCTCCAGCCGTGCACCCACAGCACAAAGGGGGTTTTGACAGCGCTCCGTGCCGCGGTGCCTCCGCCTGCTCCCGGGGAGCAGCCCCCCGCCCCGCCGCCCCCGAGCGCCCGGCCGCCGGAGCCCTGCGAGCCGGCACTTACTTTCTATGTATCCGTGCAGCGTCACCATCCGGGCCCGCTCCGGGCTGCTGAAGGGCGAGTAGTGAATGTCATCGGAGAGCGAGGAAGGGATGCGGGACGGGGGGGCTCCCGAGGGCGGCACCGTGTGCTGGGGGGTGTGTTTTTTATGGCGGGCTCTGCAGTTTTGAAACCAAACCTGAAACAGAAGCGGCAGACCTCGTGTCAGTGGAGACAGCTGGATTGACGTGTGGTCCTTCACCAAGACCCTGTGATGGGTGTCTCTTCCAAGTATTTAAGAAAAAGGAATCTGATTTAGAAATCGCCATGCTGCAATACCTCATCAGCACTCCATCAGCTTCAATAGCCTTGTATGACACTCACTAGAGCGAGAGTCTTGTCTCAAGGCAGTACAGACATTAAGGTGCTTGAAGTGGCATCTCTGCTATCTTGGTCAAAACTAACACTGTTCTTTATTAGGGTAATTAAAACTTCCAAGCCTGTTGCAGGAGTCACTGACTGAAACACCCTGAGTAGGAGATGCAGAAACTCACATTAACGATCACACTATTCCCTTCCACACCGAAATGGTTTCAAAGGCAAGCTGCTCCCCGAGCTCGAAGGGCTGTGAAAGCCCTCGGTAGCCGCACCGTACCGGCCGGGGGAGCAGCCGGGCAGCAACACCCCCCGCACCCCAGCTTTGGCTGGACTCATCCATCCCAGCATATGCAAAGCTTCGTCCCTGCACAGCTTCCACTGCACACGATGGGAGCACCTTGTAAGGTCTTATTTAGATTTTAACCTTCAACCCCAGCTAGCCTGGCCTAAAAAGCACAGCTGAGATCAGCTGGGAAACGCGTGAGCACATGGCAAAATGAGGGGAGACAAAACCAAGTAAAAGCTTAGACAAGGAGAAGATATGCCTTTAGGAACGATGAATACAATATTGTTTTAATCACTTGTGGTTTATCATATTCAAAAACCACATCAGCAGAACATTAAGGCTGAGAAGGAAGGGTGGGATACAGCCCTAGTCCATGTGAGCAGCAGGTATGAGCCCTCTGACCATGTCTCACTGCTTTTAATTAAAGGAATAGTTAGGGGATTACATCCCAGAGTTAAAACATGCATGGAAGGGGGATTTTTTTATGCTAATATGGTGATTTCTTTCTTATGCTTTAATTTTTGAAAGATAGCTGGGATTAAAAAATCTTCTCCAAGGCTGAGCGAAGCTCAGTTCTCTGAGGTCAAGCATGCTGGACCACAGAGAAGGAAGCAGTCGTAAGCATTTGACAAATTGTTTCCTGTTCAAAAGCGCCTTTAAAAAATATCCACATAAAAAATAGTCCAGTGCTCAGACTGCTTGATCTTTAGCTAAATGAAGAATCTCAATAACTGTGGCTCGAGCCAGATTTTCACACACGAAATTGAAATGTGTCATTGGCAAAACAGTCCTGGATGAAAGCTCCAAATTTATTTTAATCAGTCATGTTTTTTATTGCATGCAGAAAGTGTGTCAGCAGAACATTAATGTGAAGAGTATAAATGTCACTGAGGGGCAAAGCTGGGCTGTCTACGAGATGGCAAGCTGGGAGTTGCAGAGGGGGCATTTCTCTCAGTCCCTACCGCTCCGCTCTCCCTCCCTCCCAAATGGCACAAGCGCGGGGACTTCCCTGCCACCGTGTCCCCTGGGGCTGCCAAACTCCTTTTTCTTTAAACTTCTCGATCCCAACGCTTTCCAAAGCAAGCCAACTTTGCCTGCTCACGGTGGGGATGGCTGCAGCTGCTGGGGAAGCGCCCATGCCCGCCGTCAGGGCAGAGCACGGAGCTCCGGGGCTCTGTGCTAACAGCAGCTTTCCCATCTGGCAATTGACTGGGACTGGCTGGGGCTGCGCGTTGGGGATTTTTGCCATTGCACCATAAGGGGGAAAAACCAGCCGAAACCCCATGAGCGAGGCAGAGGAAGGAAGGTGCTGGCATCGCAGCGGGAGCCGGCGAAGCCAACACGCCGTCGAGGCTGCTGCAAGTCCCAGGGAGCGAGGGGCTACAGAGATGCGAGCCCTGTCTCGTGCCAGCCTTTTGGGGTGCCCCCCTCTTCCCCGCCTGCACCCTGCCCATCCCTGCCCGCCCCGGCTGCCCCTCACCTGAATGACTCTCCGACTCAGCCCCGTCATGTCCGCCAGCTTCTGGAGCGTTTGTGCATCGGGGTTGTTGTCCTGAGCAAACTGTGCCTGCATGACCTGGGAGGGGAGAGGAGAGAGGGGGTCAGGATGAGGCCGGGGAGCCGCAGCCCCTCCGGCTCCCCCCGGTCCCCCCGCTCTACCTGCAGCTGCTCGGCGGTGAAGGAGGTGCGAGCCCTCTTGGCCGGCTTCGGCTGGCTGTCCTGCTCCGAGGGCACAGCCCCCTCCAGCGTGATCCCGTTGCCTACGAGAGAGAAGCCCCCATGTGCCGCAGGTCGCAAACTCCCCTGCCTGCCCGTCACCCCCGCGCGCAACAGCCGCTTGACCGGGGCGGGGGGGGGACACCCGACATCGCGCCATGGGGCACCCACAGCATCCCTTGCTGCAGGCTGGAGGAAGAAGAGCGGAGCCGGCACTGCCACGCGGGAGCTGCCCCGGGCTGCTGAGCCCCTCCACGCACCGGGAAGGAGACCCCCCCCACCACCTCCAAGGTGTTTACCACTAAATTAAGAAAAAAAACCACAGCGAGTTGGCGGCAGCCATGGGGAATGAGGGCTGGGGAGATGGCAGCGGGAAGATGGGTGCCGAGGCGGCGTGCGAAGGAAAGCACTGATGTCCTGCCGGCCTTCACGCATGGTCAGCGCTCGGCCGTGTCCCCGAGCAAGCGGCTCAGAAGGGGACCCTGCCTCTTCCGGGCTCACCAACATCCATCACTCCTGCCCCACGCTGCTCCCCACGACCCCGTCGGCCCCTGCGGGCGCTGCCTCCATCACTCATTTCATTCGCTCAGAGCCTTTCAATGGGATTTTTTGCTCCAGCCCCAAATCCTCCAAACCCACCCTGACCTCCTCCACCTGGATCCCGGAGCAGCGTCAGAAGCAGCACCATCTCCATGGTCTTGGGGTGCCAGTGACCCTCCCCCCCGCCCCGTTACGTGGTGCCCGGGCTCTGAGCAACAACCTCCCTGAAAGGAGGATGTGCTGGTGTGAGGGGACCGTCCACCCCCTCCCCAGGCACCAGGGTGAGCCCGGTCGTGCTCGCACAGCTATGGAGCCTGCGGGGAGGGCGGCTGGAGACGGGGTTCCTCGTTCCTCACCAGGGTCCCTGCTGCAGCCTGTGTCGGGCCCGGGTGCGGGTGAAGCACCGAGTGATGGATGAGGGGAGGATGCCTGAGGGGGCTGGCGCTCGCCCCGCTCCCAGGATGCGCCTGCACAACCCGGCGCTCGCTCTGCGAGCTGGACCGGGCTGTGATTGTCTTGGCTTGAGTTGAAGGACTTTCTCATATAGTTTGACTTGTTCTTTTCGGATGATGAATGGGACTCTGACTTCAGCAACATCTGTTTATTTTTCTTGTATGTAAAACCTCATGTGCAGAAGAAATTGCTGGGTAATTACTGGAGGAGGGGAGCGTGGCCCTCCAACTCCGCAGCAACTGCAGCTCTCCAGAGCAATCCCATCCCCTCCTCAACACGAGGGGCCACTGGGACGCGGGCACCCACAGAGGACACTCACCACGTGCCCCAGCACCGCCCGATGCCCTGAGGCTCAGCCCACACCGGCAGGTCCTTACGAGCAGCATCAAACCCACGCTCGGCTGGGGCAGTGGCTCTGCGGGACCCCCCAGCACCAGACCCCGCCGTCCTCGTACCGTCCCGTTCCTCCAGCCCCGCGGTTTGTCCCCTCTATCCCTGCTCCCCACCGCCTCTCTCGCGCCTCCGCAGCAGCCAACCACAGGGACCAACACGCCGCGAGTCGCGTCCCGACCCAGAACCCTCCCAGCCCAACCGGGCACTCTGTTTTCATCCTCTTACTCAAACACTGTAAACAGAAACACTGATTATTTTCACGTCAGGTTGTTAATGGCTTCCACATGCTGGAAACACGACATGCCGGCGCACGACGTGTGCCTCCCCGTGCCCACCAAGCTAGCGAGGGGCACAGAGGGCTGGAGCCCTGCTCCCAGCCGGGGACGATGCCCCAGCCCCAGGAGGGTCCTGGGCACAGGGGCCTGGGGGAAGGTGGCCCTGGGCGCTTCCCTGGGTGGCTGTGGCCGCACAGCATCCCCAGGCACCCTCCCTTGCACGCCACGGGCCCACGTGACAAAAGCAAACAGCCTCTCAGCCACCGTGGCCATCGCTCCCCACGGGCACAAGACAAACCTGGCTTCATCCCCAGCCCATGGGCAGGACCCAGCCGGGCTCCCTCATGCCCCCGGCACGGCCAAGCTCCTGCGGTGCTGAGCCCACGAGGCTGCTCGCTCCCCTGTCAACATATCTTGGGTGCTTTCCAACGCAGGACAGCCCCTGGCACCGCTCGGCCTCCCTGTGCACCGCGTCGGACTAACCCCAGCAATCTCTTCCTCTGAGCATCCCCCCGGCCGCTGCCACGCAGGAGGATGGGGCTGGGCTCAAGGGGACGGGAGCTGTGGCCCGGCATGACCTCGGTGTCACCGACTTGATGGGGAAAGCAGAGGCTGGCCGCTGGCGGCGTGCTGCGGTGGGGACAGCAGCACCCGGCGCGGTCCAGCTGGGAGCGGCACGTCCCCGGGCGGGCAGGGCGGGTGGAAAATGATGGGAAGGGTTTGTCGGATGGCCAGCTTTCCCACCTTCTAGATTGATGACTCACAGCCTCAAAATCCCAGTGGCTTCCTCACGCGCTGCGTGGCTGCACGGGGCCGAGGGCTCGACCCCGGGACACACGGGTCTGCCGCGAGCCGCGGGTGCTGCCGGCACGTTGATCACCCCAAGCCTCGTGCTCAAGCCCCCACCCCCCAGAGCCACCCATCACCCTCTTTTCACAACCAGCAGGACCAACCCCAGCACCCCACGCTGGGGGTCAGCGCGGGGGACAGGGACGGCCCCGCACGGTCCCCGGGGCGAGGCCGCGACCCTGGCGATGGGGCTGCGTACCGTTTTCCGCTGCTCGCTTGAGGTTCTCTATCATGGTGTCGTAGTGAATCCGGCACAGCACCTTCTCCTCCACCAAGCCGAACTCCTCGCCGGTGGAGAGCTGCCGCTTGCAGGAGAAGCAGGCGAAGCAGGCGAGGTGGTAGGCGTTGCCCCGCGCTCGCCGCACCCAGTCGCTGGCGTAGATCTGCCTGCCGCAGCGGGCACACTTTGTACCAAACCGGCTGCGGGAGGAGAAGAGGCAGGATGAGAGCAGAGCGGGCAGGATGAGAGCAGGCAGCAGGACACCGTGGCGCCGGGCGCTGCTGCCAGCCCCAAATCGCTCGCCCCAGCCAGCCCCGACCCCACAACGCCGACGCGGGGAAGGGGCTGCAGCGAAACCGCCCCAGCGGTGCCGTTCCCCCGCGGCAGGGCAGCGGCGCGGGCCGGAGCGGGGTGGGACTCGCCACGGCCCCGCGGCGCCAGACACGGCCGAGGTGACGCAGCGCCATGAATCAGCTTCCAAGCCCATGGGCTTTTTATTTTGATAACAGCCAGTGTGAGACTCGGATGGAAACTCTGTCAGAGCCGGTTCTCTCCCGTTGCCATAAATCAAAACATGTGTTTTCTCCTCACACGTACAGGCGCACGCATCTACTTTTTCCTCCTACGAGGAGTCTCCTCGCTGCAAGAGGACAACGATTGCGCTTAAGTGAGTTACGCTGGAAAGTAGCTCAATGCAACGAAGAGGCAACAAGACAGCCAGGATCCCCACGCTGGGCGCTGGGCATTTGCACATGCTCCTGAAAAAAAAAACCCCACTTCTGCCAGGATGCTGCTGGCCAAGGGCGAGCGATTCCCGGGGAGCCACAGATGTGGCCACCGTGGCCCTGCACCCCCACGCCAGCCTCTGCCAGGAGGTGCTGCCTGCAGTGCAGGCAGGGCCAGGCACGGCCTTGTTTTGGCTTCTGCATTTTAGTATTCTGCTGCTTAAAAGCAACAACAAAAAAAATAATAAATGCAACGAGCAGCAAGCAGCAGCAAGAGCAGCGGGGGGGGAAGCGAGCATCTCCTCCCTCACCGCAGAGCTGGTGCTGGCTCCGACACAGCCCCGACCGCAGCCGCTGCGCTTCCCCGCGCACCCACCGCCACCCCCCTCGGGCTCCCCCCCGGCCCCCCACGCTCCTGACCCCCGCGGGACGCGGAGCCGCCGCCAGCCCTGCCCGAGCAGCTCCAGCAGCTCTCAGCGCTGGCACAAAACACCGAGATGACTGCACCAGGCAGCAGGACACCCCCCCGCACCGCCAGCCCCCCGGTTTCGGTCGGCCAGAGCAGCCCCAGCCGCTGCAGGCGGGCGGTGGAGGAGCCCGGGTCGAGCCCAGCTCGGCCAACGCTGCCCGTGCCCGACCCCACGCCGCAGAGCTGCTGCCCACCGTGGGCTCAGCGAGAGGCAGAAAGACCGTCCTGTGCTGGAATTACTAATTGCAAAACTATTTGGGAGGAAAAGAAAGGTTTCAGTTTTTCAGCCTGACCATAGCTGACCAAAAAAACAAACCAAAAAAAAAAAAAAAAAGGCTGCTTTAGAGAGGACATTTCTGTGCTGAAATTATACAGACTTAGCTAAGAGACTTCACTAATTTACTTCAGATGGGAACATTGTAAACTGACTTTGTGCCAGCTAGTTTATATAAACGCACAAACAAAAGAACTGTATTAATTTTTTATTTAGAAGTAAAGATCATTCCTGTAAATTGAATTACTTTGAACAATGTGCTATGTAAACAGTCGTACTTGCTGAATGGTATCAAGCGAGGGGCAGGCTTACCGAGCTAATAGCACGTGGTAATCGCTGCTCCCCGCTTGAATCACAGCCTGCCGCGGGGAGGGGGGAGCACAGCACGGGGACGGGCACATCGCGACGCCTCTGGGACCGAGGGGAAACTGAGGCACGGGAAAGGTCACCCATCGCCACCACGCACCAACTGGGATCTGGGAGAGGAGACACCCAGGTGGCCCCAGACCCAGGGCACGGTGTGACCCCCCCCGGGGCCAGGAGGGGTTGGTGGGGGTTCCCGGGGCCGCAGCAGCCGGGGCTGAGGCCACGGTCCCCGGCAGAGCCACGGCAGGAGCAGCGCCCGGCGCGGGGGCTGCGGCACCGGCAGCTGCCCGCGCTGTGCTTTGCAGCTCTTGGCCAACATCTGCCTCCGGCACCCGATCGGGTTTTACAGAAACCGAACTGAGCTGGGGCTGGGCACCCGCTGCCACCCAACAGAGACTGTCACCGCAGGGACCGCCACCAACGCGGGAACGGGGAGAGAAACACCTGCCCTGACCCCTCACCACCGGAAACAATGGCTCGAAAATAAAGCAGACTCGAATTCACTGAGCTCACAGGACAGTGAGAGCCCGACGAGCCCCATCGGCTCAGGGCTGTGGGGCACCCCACGGCAGGGACGGGGGTGGGACAGGGCCGCGCTGCAGCGGGGGGACGCAGAGCCAAAGGCTTTCCCTGAGCCCAGCACTGCGGCGCAGGCCGGGCACCAGCAACCGCTGCTGGAGCCGCCGGCTCAGGTCCCGCACGCCGGGTCTGTGGTCGGGCGAGCGGATGCTGCCGCCTCTCCGCGACGGTTAATGCCGGGAGATGGAAACTGCCAACAGCTTTACCAGGAGAGACTCGTCCCAGAGAGACTCATCCCACCTCCCCCAGGAGCAGCCGCAGCATCTGGGGCGCAGGAAGAGCGGAGGCGGGAGGACGCCCGGGCGCGTCCTGGCTCTCACACACCACTTGTACCCGGGTGCTGCAGGTCCCTGAGCCCGCGGGGACCAGGCAAGGGCCACCCACAGCTCCAAACATCCTCGTCCCCTCTTGGGCCAGCTCTGTAGGAAGCTCCTAACACAGCCCCCCCCCCCCCCTCCCACCCAGGCAGCCGTGGCTTCCAGGCACCCCCCAAACCGCCCAGCGGACTAGCAGCGGGTTGCCTCACAAGCCCACCTGCCCGCCGAGCCCCAGCGGTGCTCGAGCAGGAGCATCATCCCAGCAGGGCACGACAGCAAGGGGCAACGGAGGCCACCTGGGCCACAGCCGGGCTGCGGGTGCTGGCCCACCCACCGCACAGCTCTTTCTCTATCCCAGCCCCCAGGGACACGTGCCGGGGCCGGTGACCCCCACGCTCGCATGCCCAAGGGCTGCCCAGCGAGGCAGGGAGCCACGGGGGGTCACGGCAGGGTGCTGTGGGAATCACCCGTGGATCACGCCGGGCCTCCCCTGCGACCGGAGCCGTGGGAGCTTGGCTGTGGGAGCTTGGCTGTGAGCAGCCCTCGCATCGCCCGGGAACGCAATGTTCCGCTCAACCAACTCCAATTTTAATCCGTTTCTCCTCGAACCGCCGGAGCCCTGGATGCCAAATGCAATTATTTGACAAGACACAGGAAACAGCAGCGTTTGCTTAAAAACACACACACGAGGCCGCGGAGCCGCGGCAGCACCAGCACTTCACGTGAAGGGGGCAGGGAAGGTCGGGCAACCCAGGCCGAAACGCGCTCACTGTTGGGCAGTGCCCGTGGGCAGCCCCACTCCTGACAGCCCCCCCCCACCAATCCCCAGCTGTCCACCAGCAGCCCCAGCGCCCCGGTGTGATAAAAGCTGCCGTGAGTTCCGTGCGATGCGCGTCCCACCGCCCCTTCCCATCTGCCTTGGCTCCAAAGACCCGCACGCGTTAGGATGGGTTCTCTGTTTTGCTTTAAAAAAAAAAAAAAACAAAAAAAAACCCAAAAACCCCAAACAAACAAACAAACAAAAAAACACACACACACACACACAAAAAAACCCGCACACTTCATCTGCAGCAAATAATAAATAATAATAATAAAATTAAAATCTCAAAAGTCAGATTTCTCCTTTACCAAGCGCCGGTCCCGGGCTCCTCAGCCTGCGGGTCAGGGTGCTCCCGGGAGCCGTGCGGGTGCAGGAGGGGGCCGGGGCTGGGCCAGTGGCCCCCAAGCCGGGTTTGCCCCCCCGAGGGGTGTCTGCCCCAGCCCCGGCGAGCGGCTCCCGGCCGCAGAACGGCACCGACGGGGCGGCTCAAAGCAGCGGGAGCGACCCCCGCCCGCTGCGCACCCCCCCCCCCCCCGGCACCGCCCCGGGGTCGGCCGAGCCCGCAGCGAACCCCGCGGCCCCGGGGGTTGGGGACCAGCGGGGCGGCCCCGCGCCCGCCGTTTCACCAAAAAAAATTTAAAAAAACCCAACACAAACAACAAAAAAAAAACACAAACCAAAAAATACAACAACAACAAAAAAAAACACCCAACCCCCCCATCTTTTTGTGCAAAAGGCAAGTACAGAGCGCGGGCTGAGAGCCCCCCCGCCCCCGAACCCAGGAATTGGGGGTGTCCTGCGGCGCCTTCAGCGATTTTCGTTTTAGTTTTCTTTTGGCATCCCCGCGGGCAGAGACCGCGCAGCGCCCGCCGGCGCGGAGGGTGCTGCCCGGGGGGTTCTAGCTAAATAGATTTATTTTTAACAGATGTTATTCGCTGTATTTGCTCGAAGGCAATTTAGAGATCCAGCCGCTACTTAAAAACCGCCTTTGGAAAGGTCCAGTCTTTAAAAAAAAATTATAAAAATAACGGAATCGGAATGGTTATTAATAAATGAAAACGCTGAAAGTGCCCCGAAGCAGCACAGCAGCACCGCGGACTTCCCTAAACCTTTCTGTTGAGAGTGAAGGAGATTTCGGTGAAATCACCAAAAAAAAAGAAAAAAGAAAAAAAAAGAAAAGCAGTTTTAAAATAATAATAAGAAGAATAACAACAACAACCGAACAGGACGCGGAGCGGGGACTGATCCGGCTCTCGGCAGCCCCGCACCCCTCGGCGGCACCGAGCCCCGGATCGGGGGCTGAGCCGCGGATGATCAAGGATTTGGAGACCCTCTCAATATAAAAACCACTGGAGAAATCTCAGCCGTATTTCCCCCCGAGCACACCCTGCCCGCGGCACCCCCGGCCCGCTCCGCTGCGGCGGGAGGATGCTGCCAGCCCCCCCGCCGGGTCATTCCCACGTCCTGCCCGTGCTTCCCGTTCCCCTCGGGAAAAACCGTATTCCCTCATCCCGGTGGGATGGGGAAATTCCGAGCGGGGGTCTCTGATGTTTAGTTAAACCCCAGTGAAGGCGCTCAGGACCCTCCACCCTCTCATGCCGCTCTTTTAGAGGAAAAAAATCGTGGATTGCAGGTTTTTAACCAAATGAGCGTGGAAGCCAGAAGCAGCCTCCTTGCGGGACACGCTCCCGCGTGGGGTGCGGGTCCGGCCCGAGCCCACCGGCACCCGGCGAGCCCCGGCCCGGCCGCGGCGCTTTGAGCTGCCGGTAATTTGTTTCGGTTCTTAAACTCGCTCCCGGCACGGACGCTTCGGACATTTGGGGTGCCAGATCACAGGGAACTTTCCAAAAACCCTCGGGCAGCGCAGCCCGGTCGGGCTCACACCGACCCCCCCCCGGCAGCAGCCGGGCCGCGGCCGCACAACCGCCCTTTCCCCAAGGCGAGGGGGACCATTCCCCGCCGCGCAATCCCCACGGAGCATCCCACCGCGGTGCCGAGGGGGTCAGGAACCACCGGGGGAGGTGTTGCAGCTGCACCCCCAAATCCCCTTCCTCCCCGAGGGGACGCCTCCCCGCCGGGCCGCTCCGGGGAGCCCGGTGGCTTTTCCAAACCTTCTCCCCGCCGCCGGCGGGGTTGCAGCCCTCGGGCAGCCGGCAAGGATGCGGAGCCCCCCAGACCCCCCCAAAGAAACCCACTGGAGCCGGGGTTTCAGCGCGGAGCTTCCCCCCCCCCCCCCCCCTCCCCACCCAGCCCGTGTCCCCTACCTGAAATAATCCATCTTGCAGAAGATCTCCTTGTTCTTGATGTAGCAGCTGTGCTGCTGCCGCAGCGAGGTGCGGCACACGGAGCACTCCAGGCAGCGAACGTGCCAGATGAGGTTGTTCACCTGCGGCAGAGAAGGGGGCTGAGACCCGGGGCCACCCGCCGCCCCCCGCCGCCCCCCGCCGCCGCTCACCTTGAGCAGGTACCGGTCGAGGATCTCCAGCCCGCAGCTGGAACAGACGTTCTTGCCGGCCGACGGCGTGGAGGAAGAGGAGGAGGATGGCGGGGAGCAGACGGACGGCGTGGAGGGCGTGCTGGGCGCCGAGCGGGCGTCCTCCTTCTCCAGGGCGCCGGGCAGCGGCTCCCCATCGGGCTGCGACTGCGGGGCAGAGCCACCGCGGGGCCGTCAGCCGGGACCCCACGTCCCCCCGCGGCCCCCGGCCCGGCGGGTCCCGGTGAGTCCCCGGCCCGGCGGGTCCCCGCAGCCCCCGGCCCGGCGGGTCCCGGCGGGTCCCCGCAGCCCCCGGCCCGGCGGGTCCCCGCAGCCCCCGGCCCGGCGGGTCCCGGCGGGTCCCCGCAGCCCCCGGCCCGGCGGGTCCCGGCGGGTCCCCGCAGCCCCCGGCCCCGCTTACCATGGCGCGGGAGTGCGGGTCGAGGCAGCGGGCGCTCCCCTTGGGCAGCGGCTCCGGCGGCATCACCTTGCGGGAGAGAGCGGGAGAGGGAGGCTGCGGCTCCATGCGCCGGGCGAGAGCGGGGCACCCTATATAAACCGCCTCAAAACAATAAATAAGAACTTTCTAGTGGCCATTTAAATCCTTTGCAACAAAAGCTGCGTCTCTTTAATGAAGCAATTTGAATGTGGATTGAATTCTCTCCCTGCCTGCACTTAACCCGGGCCTCTTGAAGTAATCGCTCGGTTCCCATGCGAGCCAAAGCGCTGAAAAAACCCCACAAACTACCTGCAATTAGAAATTGCCGTAAATGCCCGAGATAAGAGGTACCCAGAGTGTCAATTCCGGCTGTCAATCAGGGAATCCATCAGGCCACCCAAAGAATTGCAAATTTGATTTTTTTAATGGTAGTAATTAAAAATCGAAATTCTTCCCCCTCTCCCTCCGCCGAGCACAAAACGCCCCAGAAAACGCCGGGATGGAAAATCCTCCTCTCGGGCGCGGGGGAGCAGCGAGCGGGCCCCCCCCCCCCCCCGGCCCCGTTCCCGGTACCGGCCCCGACGGCAGCGCTCACCTTGCCCGGCTCGGCGCCGGCCGGGGCGCGGCGGCCCGGGCCCCGGGGCTGCCCGCCCCCATGGCTCCGGTGCATGGGGCGGGCGCGCCCCGCTCCGCCCGCCGCCGCGCTCCGTGCCCGCGGCCGCGGCAGGAAGGGCGGGGAGCCGCGCCGGCCCCGCTCCCCCGCCGGGGGCGGCCGCGGGCCGGGCAGGAAGCGTCGTCGTCCGTCCCCCCCCCCCCCCCCCCCCGCCTCCTCCTTCCCCGCCGGGCCCCGCTACCTGCAGCGGCACCGCCCGCGGGGGGAGTTTAAGGAAGGGGGGGGGGGGGGGGGGAACCCCGGTCCGATGCGGTTCTTCCCCCGCCCGCCCCGACGGGGCGCACGGGGCAGAGCCGCGCCGCAGCGCCGGGACCGGCCGCGGAGCAGCGCCCCCCCGCCCCCCCAAAACCCCGGGGGCAGGATGGGGTGCGGCAGCGGGGATCGCACCCACCGCCGCGGCGTCTGGCCGCCCGCCTCTGCCCGGGCTTCATTAGTAACCTGATAATTCCCCAGCAAAGCCCCGGCAGCGGTTCCACCACGGAGTAATTGCAGGACGGTAACGTGAGCTGATGGCGGCCAGGGATGGATCCTCGCCGTTATTGATTTTGACAGCTAAATTGTTAACTGAGAGGGAAATCAGATGAAAGCCATTTTAGAATAAATACAAGACATTAGGTTTAAACATTGAGGTTGCAAGAAAGCCCGAGAAACCCCCAGGAAACCCAGGCCCGGGCCCACCAGCTCGTCCTCCCCTCTGTCCTCAGCTCTGCAGGGAGGGGGGACACGGACAAGTGCGGAGGAGCGGTGCTGAGGAAGGACAATTTAAACCACTCATCCACGCTGGCAGGGTCTGAATTAGCCCCGGCTGCTCCAGAAGAAACACGTAGGAGTTTCCACAGACAGAGGCATGAAAGCTGCCTGCCCCCCCCCTCGCACGACACCAGCCGGGACTGGGCAACGTGGGTTTTGTTTGCATCCCCGAGCGACGTAGGGCTGGAGCGGCCGCGGCCCACCCCACTACAATAACGCTGACGGCTTTTTCTGATTATTACAGAGCAGGCATGCCGGGCTCTGCAAAATCAGCGGAGGGATGGGCACAGGGTGACTCCAGCCCAGCTGCCCCCGGCCGGGAGCAGGGAGACGGCCGAAGCGGGAGTTCCAGGGCTGCTGCCCGCACCGGGACCCCGCAGCAAAGCGGCAGCTCCTGGGTATTAGCAGCGGCTCCATCCCCTTCCTCGCTCCCCGCGTGCTCCCTCCGCGAGGCAGCGGTAAGGGGGGGCTGCGTGTCGCCCAGCTACGATCCCAAGATTTGGGGTCGGGCACGCTCCACGTTCCCGTGGGCGAGGGTATGATTTCATACCTGGCCTGAGTGAGGGAGTCGCACCAGAGGCGGGAAGATTGTTGAAATACGGAGGCAAACCCCACACTATGGGCATGGTGAACCCTGTCCCCCGTACCCCAGCTTGCCCCCCGGGGATTTGCTGGAAATACAGGGGAAGCAGAGCAAACCCTAAGAGGACAGGGCTGTATGCCGGGGGTTAGGAGGAACGGCTTGATTCCTCCTCGGGGGAGCCGGGCGCCAAGCCCAGCTCTCCTTCCCCCCCGCCAGCCTCTGTACTCACGGCTTCAGAGCCGGCCCCATCCTCCACCGAAGCGCCGCAGCGCTTCCCCGTGCCGTTCAAACCTATTTTATGATGGTCGATATGCAAAGCCCCAGAGCTGATGCTCCTGAAAAAAAAAAAAAAAACAAAAAAAACAAAAACAAAAACCAAAACCCCAAACAAACAAACAACAAAAAACCCCCACATTACCGGGCATTTACCTCCTCCGAGCTCCAAGGCTGGAAAGTCCCCGGTTGTGCCGCGCCACCGCCGCCGGCTGCCGCAGCCGCAGCGTTCCGGGGAAGCGCAGGCAGCACCAGCGCCTGCCGGGCCGGCGGCGGCGGGAGCGACCGACACAGACACTGACCCGCAGTAAAGCTCCCCCAGGTCTGAGTCTGGCCGAGCGACAGACAAGGCACTTCTGTTAGTGACTGTGGCAGTGCAAAAAAAAAAAAAAATTTTTTAAATTAAAAAAAGTACATAAAAAGACCGATGCTATTGTACCCAGATTTCTATCAGTGGACTTCAGCTGATGCCAAGCATTTACCACCCTCACTTCCTGCTTGCCACCCTCGCTTTCCTGGAGGAAAACATGCATTTTAAATGTTTATTTAGAGCCATAAGAATTTCAACAAAATGTATTTAAATACAAATAAATATCAAAGTATGTTTCCAAAGGGAACGCAACCACATACCCTATTTGAATCTAGGTGTTTTCTAAATTCCTGAAAGAATCAATTGCTGTTCTAAATAAAGCAGATACAGATCCAGAGGACTACAAACATTAGACCACGCGAGAACAAAACACAGGCTGTTCACAGAGGAATGTAAACGGGTGTTATTGACACTCACAGAGGTACAAACTCCCAGTGATACTACTTTTCTCTTCACTCGGGTACCAAAAAAAACTAGAAAGCAAATATTTAACAGCACGAAACCTACTTTTGAACAATTCAGGCTTTTAACAATCCATCCATCCTAGACATGCAGAGCTCTGGGGAGCGCGCTCTGCCCCGAGGTGGGAATACAAACCTTACTTTGCTACGCCAGCGAGCAGCACCTGCGCGCAGCAACCAGGGGCTGCTTAAAAATGGTTTTCCCTCCTCCTGCTCGAGACCACTGTTAACCAGCTTGGGGAGGCAACTCAAGAGGTAAAGGTTCACCGCCGACAGGACTAGAGAGAGCAAACATCGGCAAAATCAGACCAGTACCTCCCGGACCCGAGCGCACGTGTTCTCCAACATCCCCCTTGCACACGCAGTCACAGCGCTGAGTGTACGAAGGAGAAAACGCTGCCAGGCAATTTCCCACACCCCCCCCCATCCCCCCCCCTCAGATTTCTATTTTGCAGATAACATTTAGGGAGAAAAACGTGCCGCGGATGAAACGGTTTAAGCGAAATGCCATCCATCAGACTTGCAAATTAAGCACCTGGTGCAGGTAATCCTCAGCACACAGCGGAACCATTTTGCCACAAACGCTTGCGCCGCTTGACACCCAGAGGCAACTGACCCCCCCCCCCCCCTTTACCAGCCAGTGAACACCAGGAGCTGGACTGGTTGGTGGGCAAACGCTGAGGTCATGTGCTTGACAGATGTCTCGGAGGCTGCAGTGTTATTCTCACGCTGTCACATCTGGTTTGTGAAGAGCTACCACTGAAGGGGATTACTGAACGCAAACGTTAGATATGCTACTGCTGTGCTCTGAAGCTTAAGGCACAGCGCAGGCCTCGGTGGTGTGTAAACACACCAATTCCTACACAGAGGCACATACCTACAGCCTAAATGACACTGAAAATACCCGCGCTGTGTCGTTGTCTTCAGGTTGTCGCATCATAAAGGAATACCTTAAAGTTTGCAAATCGAACCGCAAAATAACTTTGCTTTGGTGCATATAAAATACTGCATGCCCAGTTACTAAAAGTGTTGCAAAATCTATTTAAAATGAGTTTTATTGAGATGAAAAAGTTTTCCGTGGTAACTACAGAATGTTAATCAAAACCAAGTGCCCTCCATTAAAAACACGAATCGGAATACTTTTTGTTCAAAAACACTTTAAAAAGTGATCAGTTAAATGAAGTATTTTTGGATGTGCTTTACTCCATACACTGGTTACTGTTTCTAATCTTGCTAATGAATGCACACTAACGAGAGGTTGTCTGCGTGTTCATCAGAGGCTTTGAAGGGAACCTACTTTTCTGAACAGCGTTCAGCTGCGAAGCTGCACTGGCAGTAAGGAGTATTTCCGCAGAGCACCTAAGGTGTTACACACACTGTGCCATGAGCAGCGGTGGCGTGCCCGGGTGGCGGTGTCCTTCTCACTCTACAAAGTACAAAAGCATTGGAGGACTCCAGGTATACAAAGCAGTGTTTCTTGCTACCAATATCCATTCATAAGCATCATCTTCTAGATTTCCAGGCAGCTCTGGAATAAGGAGTAGTCCTTTTCTTATCCGGTGGTTTGAAGTAAGAATAAACAGGTGCTGCAGGGTATTCCGCATCTGGATTTTCTGCCATCATTTTCAGCTTGGCTTCAATGGCCTTTATCTTTGCACTGACACTGGAAAGAGGAAAAGCAGAAGAGAAATTGAGCTTGATCTTAGCATGGAATCAGACTACAGCAATCCAGAGATTTCGTTGACATGCAAATACTTAGTCATATGAGGAGGGGCCAGGCAGCCCCCACCGCTGCATTCACAAGCAGCGTGAAGTTGGGAGGCAGGAATCCACTGCTTAAAGCCCACGCTATTTCATTCCAATCCTCAGCACGGATCTGCTCCTCCAAGATGTATCACAGCACCACAAAATAACGGTCCTTGCACCTACTCAGCACTTTCTTGAGGACACTGAGCGAGACAAGTACACAACAAGGCTTCCTCCTTCATGTAAAATGATGTCATTTAAAGAGGTCTGAGCATGTGCAGCAGAGAACAGCTCAGACGAGGCTGCTGGAAACAGCAGAGAAATGAAAGCCAGACTTCCTCCCAGCTACAAGACCGCTTGGGATGGGAAAACCCCAGACTCTAATTAGGTCAGGAAGAAACATTATTTCAGCATTAGCAGGGTTTATCCCAAAGGGAGAAGCTATCCCAGGTTACACCCCATGTTCCTAGGACTTTTGTTATTTCCTATCCTCCACTGGGTATGGACCGAGGAATGCTCCCTTCTCTGCCGTGGCTTCTTGCAGCATCCTTCCTCACTAAAACAACTCCTTCATGCCACTGACATAGCTAACAATCTGCACAACTCAAGCCTCTCTGCTCATTACTTACTGGCGTGTTATTTCTGAATTCCAAGCTCATTTTTTCTGTAGGCAAATTCATTATCCCCAGTCCTGGTTCCTTATACAGTTCCACTGACAGAACATACGAGGAAAATCACATACCCTTTCAACCAAACTGTGAATTAGCAAAGCAGCACTACGTGCTTTAGGTAAATGAAGGGGTTGGAGAATTTAACCACATCCCTACCAGCCCTAATGCTGGCCAAAAAGAAGAAATAAAAAAAATTAATTTATGTGAAGTACTACGTGTGATTTTATTTTAAACTTTTGCCACTGTAGAAGAAATTCTTGCTCATAAGCATTTTGATTAATCAAATTAGTACAGTACGAAACCTCTCACTGGAGTTCATAAGGCACATTCTGGCCAAAGGAGCTGGAATGTTACACATTCCCAATTCCTCTCCTCACCTCTTTTCCTTCCTACTGCCCCCGTAGCTTCACACGTTAGAAAATGAACTTCAGGTCTGAAATATCCTGCGTTAAATGAGTTACTTTGCACCACGTTGCCCTTTTAAAAACAGCTTTTTTATCATGTTAGATTTCCAGTACAAACATAATGCAAGCAACTCTAGATCTTACTGAAATCAAAGAAGTTAGTTCCCTGCCGCCCCCGCCATTTGGTCACCTCTCACCCATCCCATCTCCTACCTTAGGTTAGACTGGGGCGGCTCCGTGCTGGAAGAGGGCTCCAGACTGATTGGAAGGATCTTCTCATTTTTATTGTGATCATATCTCTGTGAACAAGAGACCAAGGATTAAAGTCAGCTGGAATTACAAACAAAGAAACATTTGCCCACAGGTACACTTTAAAGTTCCATCACTTTAAAGTTAACATCACCTCAGATTTTTCTGAAGCTAGGGAAGATTTTGGTGGCCAAACACCAAAACAAATCCCAACCATAATATCTGTTTAGTACCAACATGGAACATAGAATCTTGATACTGAACACTTATGTGCATTGTACTATGGATCCTAAAACCTTACCGTGTCTTACCACTTCTTGTTCCCCTCTATGAGGCACAAAGCAAAGATAGTAAATTTTAAGGTAACTACTGTACTGTATTGCTATGCTCCTTATATAGACATTGTGATTGAGTTACCTTCTGACTCTGCACATAACTGCACAGAATCTTGCAGTGCTAGAAAAGAAAAAAAGGAAAAAAGAGTCCAGTTTAGAACCACCTCCTTTCTGTAGAAAGCAGCTTGTGAGTCTGTCATCTCTGTGGGCAAAGGGCCTCCTGAACTATTCGCAGTGTTCTACTTCCTTATTTCGCTTGGCACAAAGTCAAGTTTGTTTTTCAGCAGAGCTGTTCAAACCGACAGTGTCTGGTAAACCTTGGCTACTCATCCTAAAACTACTTAGCATGTCGCTGGTATTGTCTAAAATAAACACCCGTTACAATAAAACACCAAAAGTTTTGTGCTGTTGAATCTTTCCATTCGCGGATTAGAAAATGCCATGCAAACTGCAGTGATTATTTATCCATGTTCTTCACCATACCCTGGCCAGCCAAGCACTGAGCTACCCTGCTGAACAGACACTCACTCCTCTGGCCGAAACTCCTTTTACGGCCTGATCACTCCTCAGGCATCCGGAAGCACGTGGCGCTTTAGTAGCTACACAGCTAAAGCAAATGGAGACTGGATTTGCGCAAGCTTGGATGTGCTGACAACAGCCTGGAGCCCTTGAAGCCAATAATTAAAACAACATGGTCTCCTTTAATGAAGATACCTGTTTTGGTTTTTTTAGCATCCAAAACAGATGCACTAGTATACTTGATAAGAAAAAGGGTAGAAAGCTGCTTGTAGAGTAATCAGCACGTGCTAAAAGCAAACTACCTAAAGGCAAATAGCAACAAGCAGCTCTCCCCACCCCACTCCCCTAAAATCCATTTATCTGCAAAAAAAGTTATTAAAAATAATTTGCTTTATCAAATACCAGATAGTAACTGCAGGATAAACAAGACAAGAATTTTAAAAAAATTAAAACAGGGATGTTCCAGAAGGTACTGTCTAAATTAGTATTAAAAACTTGATGTTTTATGTGACAGAGCAAGCAACAAAAGGATATTTACTCTAGATGTGAAATATGTTACTTTAAAGTCAGAAGTAATTAGAGATGCTGCTAGGTAAGTGCTTTCAGAAGTGGAACAAAGTAACAAAGTAGTGGGTAATAGGGAATTTCCATACATCTCCTATCTGAAAAGGGAACAAAACCACAGATGGAAGGATTCAAACTTTCAGCCAATCACTCGCTCAGCTTGGGAAAAGTTAAAACATGAACGTTTATAAAAGTAATCAGGTCACACTGCTCTGAACAGAAACTCCCTCACAACAAACATCAGGTTAGATGGCCTATTCTTACAGCTAATCCAGCACAGTTTAGGTAGACAAAAAGTGGTAGCCTGTTAATACTGTTTCTATGAGAGTTATTTCCTAGGACAGACGGACAGACTGAAATTATCTTGCCAGGCTAAGACAGCCTTGATACGAACGGTTCCTTAAAGTTTTTCAATTTTGCAAATTAAAAGCAATTCTTATTTACAACAGCAGGCTTACCTTGACCTGTGCGTGCGCCCACCGCACCACCAATTTCTTGGAAAGGGCCAGCTTTCCATTGAGGCACTGGATCGCCTTTTCTGCTTCCTGCACAGGAAGACAGTTCAATAAACAAACCAAGTCTTTAGTCAAAACCGACTCAGATGTAAAGAGCCTTTTTTCTTTGTTAATCAGTCTTCTCTAAGTACAGCTAACTGACAGCAAAGAAAGTTTATCCTATTGTAGCCCAATCCAGGAATATTTTTGGAATTCTCTAACATCTTAGTAACTAGGCTTTTATCAGCCTTACTGGTTTATTCTTTCACTTGTTTTGGGGGAAGAAATGGGGAAAATGATCAGGAGTCTTCAAAGTACCAAACATGGAGGCCTCTGGAACAGCATTCTGAGGGAGGTTGATGGTACAGGAGTTTCTCTAGAAAATACTGTGACTCATTACAGTGATTACATGTGTCTCATTAACACCTATCTATGCTTATTCCAGATCCCGCTCATGAGCGCTGGGGACATGATCCACTTGGTCCTGGTTCTAGGCTCAGCAGTGGAATCTCAGCTTTGGGACACTCCCATAAAACTTGATTTACAGCAGTTGAAGATTCGTGTTGCAATGCTGTTTCACCTTGCTATGAATAATTTTCTAGAGCTAACACACTGCGTCAGGGCTCTTCTGACATCCTTACAGGCAACTGCACAGCAAAAAGATGAGGTCATACAGCCACAAGCAATCTCCAAATACACTGTTCTTCCTAACTTTTGAACAATTCTAGCAGAATTATGAAAAAATAACTACAACTCTGATGTTGCAGGTAAGCACGACTTGAAATTTTGATTAGTAACAAGAGCTGAAACCCCAAATGGACAGCCAAGGGACAGTTCTCTCCAGGGTGCTGCAGATGTGTCATGTACATCTGACAGCATCATAGAAGTTGGTGTTTGGCTTCATGAATGCACAAAAGAAAAACTAGGATGACTTCAGAGCAGTTCTGGATATCAGGTGGTCTGGTAGGCTGATTCAAGGCTCTGTGTGGATCACAGCATCTCCACCGTACAACTCCATGAGCTCACTACAGAAGTGGACTAAAGAACCCGCCCTTTCTGATTAGCATTAGAAAGCAGGATTCAGGAAAAGAACAGCAGAGGAGAAAGGAAATCACTCTTGCTACTTCCAGGAGCAGTCACAAAGAGTCTGTGGATTTGTGTAGACAAGGTATTAAATTTATCCCTGCCTGTTTCAGCTTCACATTAACATAAAAAAAATGGGGAAAGAAGCCAGTCATTTAAATCAGACTTTTTGATAAAAGCAACATACCTGTTTGGTTTCAAAGTTCACAAAACAGTAACCCCTCGGCTGCCCCTCCAGAGCACCAGACTTGTGAAAGAGAAAGTCAAATTGCTTTACTTTGCCAAACTTCTGAAGGAGTTTGAGAAGGTGGTATCTGAAGGGGAGAGAAGACATTTTTATGACACCTTTCACCACTTTGAAAGTGGGGAGACAGAGAGAAACCCCCCTGAGACACACACACACACAGAGTTTCGCATTTGGTAACACAAACAGGGCAGTTGTGCCATCCACATCTTCCCAAATACCTGCAGGAGTGGGCACCCCCTCAGCATCCATAGCCCTGGGCTGCATCATCAGCGACTGCTCTAAAACCCTGAGGCACAAAGCCTCCCTCCCAGCAGTGGCAGCTGAAGGGCATGCAGGAGATCTATTAATAGTTGGCTTTTGGACAATTAGGCAATGGCTCCTTGGGGGTCTGGGAGCACTTTGCCTCCTGCCTCTCAAAATCACACCTACTTTTAAGCATAACCATCGCGTCCCCCCCTCACTAGCCCTGACATGACTGCCTGAAGCTCCAGCCCCTGTATTCCTCTCCCTGCACAAGCAGTCCCAGCATCCTGCATCCCTCAGGATCCCCACTATTCTTGCTGCCCTCCCTCTCCCTGTACAAGCACTGCTAGTCCCAACCCTTCCCTCTGCCAAGCAGTTACCAGTGCACTAACAAAAACACAGATCACACAAAAACGCAGCCGCTCTCCCACTCGCCTTGCAGAGCTGGGGAAGCAGGAAGACAGAACAATAAACAGAACAAACTGCAACCAGGAATTGCCTTTTTTTTTTTTTTTGCCTAGTCTACTGTCACCAGACCGACCTCAGGATCATACAGACCAAATCTGACAGTGCTTCTGGCTCAGACAGCTTTTCAGCAACATGCACATGAAAGTCAGACACTTATTTAGTCAATTATCTTCCTGCCATCCAGTGGGGAGTGTGCTGTTTCCAATAAAACTGGGGAAAGCCAGAGTAAATCTGTCTGCTTAGTATCTAGTGCATGGAGCAACTTAAAATGAAGAGCACATTTGTTGTACAGGCCACATTTAATCCGGCAAGTTCTTTGCAGCTTTTTTTTGGTTCCCTGAGATCAAAGTGTTTAACACCACCAGCTGATCTAGAAGGAAAATGACACCCATTACTCTTTCACTGCCTGACCCCGTCCCCAGAATTTAAGAATTGTCTACGGGTTTAATAAGAGTGTCTTAGCACTCATCTTCTCCTGATCAGCTGCACAGCATTCACTAGCAAGCCACGCAGTCTCAGCCCAACTTTCAAATTGCAAGCTGAAAGCCTACCAGGATCACCCAAAGCGAACGCAGAGCACCTGGCACTGGATGACACCTTCCATGTCCTGATATGAATGGTCAGTCGTGGCCCAAGACAGCCAAATGCACCAGGCCACTTTAGGGACAGTCCAAATAGGAAGGGCAGACAACATTTTTTCCTAATAAAGCCTGATAGGATGTTTGAAAAGGGCTACAGCCCTTTGTTAAGCTCTAGGAGCCAGGCAAGAAAGTTCCAGGAATGTGAGTCATCTCACAGGATGGGTCATGGTGGACATTCAGGATATGCACTTTTAAAGAGGTGAAGGTGCAGCAAGCGTTCAGATGAGCAGTGCAGAAGGGCCAAGTTATCTCCCAGGGGAATAAACACATTGTAATTGATTATGGAAGGCTTCCTACATGCTTCGGAATACTGACGAAGCCCATGGTCTTCCAAGAGGCCTATGAGCCCTCAGTCCCTGCTCAGAAGGCAGGGGAGAAAGAAAAGCAAGAGCAGGAAAAAAAGGAGGAGCTGGTTACCTAGTAGCCAAGTTTCACCACCACACCTCAAGCTATCAACAAGCAGTCACAGATGTACAAGCAAAAACACTAACTTTGGAGACGTGTCGTGTATATAAAACCCCACATGTTGAAATTTCAGGGCCTCCAAAATATGCACCTCAGGTTTTCTTCTGTAAACATACAGCTACAAAAAGCACTTGCAATTTCAGCAGTATGAAAATAAAGTCCTTACCACTAGAATGCTGTTCCCTTTTTGACAATTACAGAGGCAGTGGAAGGGCAATGACGACTCTCATTGCATTCTGTTTAGCAACAACAAAACCCTGCAGCTGTCCTGCTAAAAGGAGTATTTTGTGTTGCTTTTTTGTTTTGTTTTGTTGTTGGTTTTTTTTTTGTGTGTGTGTGTGGTTTTTTTTTGTTGTTGTTTTGTTTTTTCCTGAGAACCTCTGCATTCAAATAATACTTTCATAGCAGCAAAGTGGTAGTTGTTCCTTTAGAACAAATTTAATTGAGAGTCTAGAAGCAACCTATGTAATCCATTTTATTTAGAACCTTTAGATCGTAGATGATACTAATGCTCTTTTCCAACCATTCACGCAATTTTTACAACTGCAGGTCACCTACTCTCCATGGAACAGCTCTGAACTGAAGTCTTGCATAACTAAAAGGGTTCAGGCTGTGATTACGATTTGTTATTGTTAATATAGTGAGGGCATTAACAGTAACTTGACAAGTAGTTCTCCAGGCCAAGAGGACTTCAGTACCGACGGAAGACCTGTCACGGAAAACCTTAAGCCTTTAAAAAAAAAAAAAAAAAAAAAAAAAGAAATAAAGTGAGAACACATAAAAAGCTTTACTATAGCAACGACTTGGGTTATCCAGAGCTTGGAAGTTATTCGCACAGATGTGGCCCCACCGCGCTGTGCAGATCACCACAGCCAACCTCAATTTCCACTTCCTGTCATCTGATGTGAATGCGAGACAAACCAGCAGCTCCCCCATTTCCTTTTCCTCCACTCTTCCTCCTGGCACCCCAAGCGCTATTCAAACACAGGCAAGGCTTCCTCTGAACAATACTGTCCCAAGGATACCGCAAAGGTACCGGGCCACATGCAAAACCTATTATTGCGAAGAATTTGGCCCCACTGGGAGTCAGTAGGAGTCTGTAACAACAACGTATGCACACATTGTTTTCTAGGTGAGACTCATCAAGATGGGATCCTAGACAAGCGGCAGAACAGCCAAGGAAGTTGAACACCCGCTATTACATACCCGTGGAAAATGAATGGTCATTCAAAGGCTACTGGAAACTAGATAATACGTATGTGTAACTGTAGAGCTGCAAACGAAATTTTTGCCTGTCCAAAATGTTGAAAAGTTTCAAAAGGCTTTACAAACAGGAATGAGCAGAGGAGGAAGTCCTACTCTGCTTGCCGCACAGGAGACATAACTGAAGTATGGGGTTTTTCCCCCACAGTTGTGCCACAGCACATCTCCTGCCCTACTGTGAAGCTGGGGGACAAATGCCACAGCAGGCAATGCTCACGGCGACGGTGAGGGGACTCCATGGCTTCCTTGCTCGGTGATACCAAACCCAGACCTACCACCGGCTGCTCTCCTCGCGCGCTGCCGTGGCAGACCCCCACAGCAGGGATTATTCAGCATCAGAAGTACCTGGAGAGTGTCCTGTGTCATGAATAGCTGTGAGGTCCTATGGTGCCCGCTCACCTCCTTCCAGCTGCTAATAATACACTCAGTAGACTCCTAATACTATCTTCTTCCACAGGGAGAATGCTCCTCTAAGCACGCTGGATAAAAGAAGAGAAGTCTCGCAAACAAACATCACTGGTACGGTGGAATGACCAGAAGACCCACCATACCCCAGTACGTAGGGCATGTCAGGGTTCAAGGTCCTCTGAGACTCCCATTTGAATCACGGTTACTCAGTATGTGCAATAACCTCCTACAAGCCATCAACTCAGGCTGTAATTTGCGGGCAGCCCTACATTTTAAAATTCTTATTAGTGCAGCTTGTGCTTAAATGTGTACGTTACCTATTAACTCCCCAGCACTTGATTGCAGCTATAGGTTGTTCTCTAAATGGAAGTCTTAGATTAATGCAAGACTTTCTGAACTCATTTCTGCTTGAGAAAGTCACAACCAGTTATTAACCCTGCTAACAATTCAATCAACTTTACTCTGTCTTAAACAAATCTAACATAGAAATTGCAGAGGCAATGCTTTAAAAATCAGATAAAAGCAACAAATAAAGAAATAGCTATTTAGTTTTCAGGTATATATGTTTTTAGTCACGTGATCAGTAACCTCAACAGGAATAACTCAGATGAGCAACTACGAGCAGAGATGTAAGCCCTTAGGGTACGAAAGTAAGGGTCAAGACAATTTACAGAAACTTACTGACCCAACATAGAACCACACTCTTCTCTACACTGAGAACGTGTTAAAAGGAACTTCCTCTTTTTTTATTCACAAGGAAGAGGATATTACAGTATAGCGCATTTCCGAAGCCAAACCAAAAGCAAAACACAGAATTATAAAGCCCGAAATAAGTAACAAGCACTGTCACTCATCAGTGGGCAAATGTTAAACGTTTGGTGGCACGGGAGCACTCTAGGTTTGATGACACTGGAGAATGAAGCCCCTGGCCCACAGCCACGATGCTGCTCTGGGCACAGTCCCCAGCAGCAAGGGTGCCAGGGCAGCCGTGCCCCACACCCAGACTATTGAATTCATGCAGCTGCAATAGGTTATTTGAAAAGAAACAGCCTGTTCAGGCCAGAAGCTGACTGAAACCCACAAAACTCACTTCACCCAAGCTATGAAAACAGTAAATTTCGCCATATAAAGCTGTTGCTTGTCTAGCCTAGAGGAACACCCTAGACTGAAAGGGTCTTTAAACACACCACTAACACTCACCCCGGGAAGTGAAGGATCCAGTGCATTTACAAACACCCACTATCTTCCCCTCACACTAACCCAGTTTCCTGAATCTTTAAGGACCCAGCAAACAACACTCTCAAGAAGTCCTATATCCAATTTTATGTGGTCAGTGAATGCGGACAAGCTAGAGTAACATCGCTGTGGGATAAAAATAGTAATTAATGCAGAAACCACCCAAAGCTGAATGGCTGAAAAGCACAATGCATTAATGATTCCATTTAGAAGCTATTAGAAAACTGCTGTTAAGATGAACCACATTTAGAATAAAAACCTAGCACCTGCACACGCACAAAAAGAAGCAGGAAGAAAAGGTATTCCATGACAGGCACATACAATAGTTAATCAAAGGTGCTTGTCTCTTAGAAGTACATAAACCCCAAATTGTTTTGTTTTAGTTTTTAGATGACCTACTGATCTTTCAGCACACTACGCAAATATTGGACAGCAAGTCATATTCCCTTGACAATTTAGCTGTTCAAATGTTTGCTCAGAAGATAATGATCTGTAGTCTGCAGAAAACACAAGACGCATACACACACGTTAGATTTATACATTTATCCACCCCAAGCAGCCAGTCACACCGCACCCCACCTCGTTACCACTCAGTTACTCGAGTAACTCTCTGTTCAACCTACATCCCACTGCTCACACCAGCAAAATAATAAAACAAGGCTCTTGGCCACCCTGGAAGTCTCAAAGCTAAAATTCTAACATTTCCCTAGTTTAGAAAAATAAGATGTTTTCAACCCCTGCGCTTCCAGCCCGGGCGGTGGCTGGGGTGACCGCTGCGTACACGGTTCAGCGCCTGCCCCCAGTGCAGACACCCACGCCCCCCCCACGCCCCCAGACACTTCAGGCCACCCACAGCAACCCCGGGGCCGCCCACGCAGCACCGTGGGAGCTGGGAGCAGTCGGCAAACGCGGAGTGGACGACCATCACCCCCCCGCCGCGGGGGCGGAGGGATGAGCCGGGTGTGATACAGCAGCCCCCGGGGGACACCCCCGGCGTGGGGGGGGGTGGGTGTCGGTACCGCTGCTGGGGGCGGGGGGGGATTACCGGGGGAGGGGGATTGGTTACCGGGGGGGGGGGGGGGGGTTATCGGGGGTGGGTTGGTTACCAGGGAAGGTGGGGGGAGGGTTATCGGGGGTGGGTTAGTTACTGGGGGGGGGGTTACAGGGAGGAGGTTACCGGGGGGGGGGGGGGGGGGGGAGTGCCTTGCACAGAGCCACTCACTCGGTGATCTTGGGGTCGAGGTTGCCGATCCAGAGGCGGTGCCCGTCCTGCAGGGCGCCCTCGGAGAGGATGGAGGCGTTCTCCAGCGGCAGCGCCTGGCGCCCCGGCTCCATGGCTCTGCGGAGGGCAGCGGTGAGAGCGGGGGGGTGTGCGTGGGGCGGGGGTCAGGGCCGCACTCACCATCAGCCCGCGGGACGGCGCAGGCCGCGGCCGCTCCCTCCTCGCTGCAGGCCTCGCCCCGCCCCTCACGGCGCCGCGTCAGCGACGTCAACGCCGCGGCGCGGCCCGATGACGGTGCGGCGAGGCGCGCGGGGCTGCGCGACGGTGAGCGAGGCCGCGGGCGGGCAAACGCGCCCACCCGATCTCCTCCCCCCCCCCCCCCCGCTCCGCTTCTCCCTTTCACCGCCCCCGGTCCCCCGGGGCGGGGCGGGGCACCGGAGGGGCGCGCGCGAACGGGAGGGACCGGGCCGGCCCGGGCCGGCGCGCCCTGAGGCGAGAGGCAGCGGTGGGCGCGGCCACGTCAGGGGGCGGGGCGGAGGATGGGGTGGGGCTAGATGCGGAGGAGGGGGCGGGGCGTCTCCGTGGCGGGCGGGGCCTGCGCGCACGGTGTGGCGGGAGCCCCGTGGGGTCCCCCCGGCCAGGATTGGGGGGGGGGGTACGGGGGGGGTTTGGGTGCCCCCCGGGACCGTCCTCGGAGCGGCAGAGAGGAGGGGCCGGTCCCTCCGGTGGCGGCAGCGCGCCCGGGGTTTCCGTGTTTCTGCAGAAACGCCTCCGAGCCCGCAACGCTGAAATAAATCCCGTAAATTCCGCGGGGGCGGTCGGGGTCCCAAACCTCGTGTGCCAGAAATTAAAGTTTCTACTCGGCTGACATGCAAATACCGGATACTTTGACGAGCTGCTCTTGCTTGTGGTTTGGTTTTTTTTTTTTTTTTTTTGCGTCACAGGCCGTGTCCCACTGGGCAGATGTGCAAAGGCTGTGCAGGTAACAGGGGTGCGGGCTGGCACCGAGCCCCCTTCCACCGAATTTACCCACCGGTCGCCCAGACCCACACTGCTGAGCTCTCGCCTTGCCCTGATCCGTGTGACTAAGAGCTGAATCTGTTTCTTTTTAGGATGCCGGGTGGACCACCTCCCTTTTCTAGGTGAGCTGGAGAAGCGCCGTTAGCCATGGCTGTGGCCCTGAGGTGCCTCCGTCACCTGCCTGCCCTGCTTTATCGTTCCTCGCTGGCGATGAGACGGGGGCAGCCGCAGGCTCCTGCCCCCTGCCCAGCCCCGCTGCGGGACGGCTGCCGGCAGTGTGCCCATCAGATGCTGCTGACCAGACACCTAGCCACCAAAAAAGGTAAAGGCAGCAGCCTTTTTCTTAGTGTTTGCAACCCCTCGGTATGTTGCCAGAATTTCTTTCCTTATCCCTTTCATCTCGTGTACCAGGATGGATCTGACGTAGGCGGAACACGGCTCTGGAGCCTCAGCCCTTCCCGCGGCAGAGGCACGGCACGGGGCTGCTGCTGCGCTGGGGCAGTGGGCAGCAGTCGCCCAGGCTGGAGTCGGTGCACGCAGCGTGACCTGCAAATATATTTTGGCTTACGTGCCCAAGTGCTGGGCTATTTACTCATTAAAAAATACAGTTGCTTCGGTTTATCTTAGACTCGGTTCTGAATCTAACATAGTATCTCTGCTTTCTAATGCAACAACTAACTGTTGTCAAATTAATTCTATGTGTAATCTGCAGCTAAAGGTAAAGGGCAGAGTCAAGCCAGAGTGAATATCAGTGCTTCCCTAGTTGAGGATATTATCAATTTGGAGGAAACCAATGAAGACATGCTGGCAGTGGTAGAAGCTCTGAAAGAAGATTTCAGCAGAAATCTCAGTGTTAGAACCTCACCAGGTTGGTAACATCCTTGTGTGATGCTCTGTTGCCTATACCAACCCTAATAACAGAGAACTCTTGAGTTTTTCAAAATTGATTTTCTTTTTATGGAGTTATTCACTGGGCACCCAATTACTACAGCCTTGACGTCCCCAACTAAAGGCTTTCTTTACCCTGAGCTTGACCAGGAAGAATCCATTTTTGTTAATAACTTCCTGGAAATAGCTTTTGTAAGTGGGAGATGTCAAAAGTGTCTAACTGAACTGTTTGCAGATGTGATGAAGAAGCAGGTTGTCAGCTAATGGTGCAATAGGGCAGGAAAAATCCAATTGCCATTAAATTAGCCTTTTGGAAATTGCCATCGGGCTGGTGTCTGGCATATACAAACTTCTTTTGCTGTGCGTCTTTGTGGTTAGTGACCTTTACAAGCCTTGTTCACTTAGTGAATTTTGTGTTTTAGGGAGAAATGTGAATATATTTGACTAAGCTACAGTTACTATAACACTCTGAACGTACGTATTTGTAGGTAGTATCAAGTTTCAGGGATAAAATTTAACATTAAACAATGACCAAGTCTGAATCATTCACCACCCCACTCTGGCAGGGGCACTTCAGTCTTTAATGGAGTTGGAAAGCATAGCTCAGTCTCTTAACTATTTATTTTAACCATAGGTATTTTTTTTAATTGCACTGATAAAGTACCTCTTGTCCCATGTGCCTTTTGGCCTGTTAACATTTTGCAGCAGAAACCAGAGAGCAGATTAAGAGTAGCTCAGGGAGAAACTGAATACTTTAAATTAGGCAGTGTACAACACTTCCTCTTGGGACTTGGGAAAAAAAAAAGAGGGGTTTAAGAGAATACTGCTAAGTTAAAGACAATAGTTATCTTGATTTTTATAACAACATTTTGCTTTTCTTTAAGTTCTCAGAATTAAAAATTTATGATTTCCTTTTAATTCTTAACAATCTTGCTTAGTTTTCCTATTCTAGTAACAAAAACAAACAAGAGTTTTGTTTTCATGGTTTTGTGCTTTAGAGTAGCATTGAAATATTTAGCTAGCAAATACCACAGGGGATGCATGAACACAAACAGCACCTGAATTCTGAATAAACATGAGGGTTTTTTCTTTTGTAACATCTATATTTTGCATAAGAGAAGGGAAGTGGGACGCTGCATATGCATTTTGCTTCAGCATCACTGTGAACTGCTCTATCATTCTGAAACTCCCCTGTGCTTGGTTCTTTTGAGGGGCCCTTGATCACATAATCGTGATGACAAAAGATGGGAAGTTTCCGCTAAACCAGCTGGGGCAGATCTCACAGAAGTCACCGCAGCTCATTATAGTGAACATGACTGATTTTCCAGAGGTAAGGACACGTTACTGAAGGCGTTATGACGAGAGATAATTACGACGGGAGCAAACAGGTTGATGCTAAGCAAAGGAAAATTTAGACAAAATCAGTCAAACCCGGGAGGGCTGAGAGCTCTGGCTGGGCTGCGTGTCGCTTCACGGCTAGCGCAAAACAGCAGCTTTTTGCTTCAAAACAGAATTTTGCCAATGACTGCACGGGGCGAGCATCTCCCGTGCAGCGGCACAGGGTCGGACCCCAGCGACACGCTGCCCGTCAGGCCGCGATTGCCCTCGGGGCCGTATCCAGGAAATGCCCCACTACGAGGGGTTTGCTTTGGGGACTGGTTTGTGCAAGAGCTCGCTTGTAAAGCGGCGCTGAGCGTGTCGCAGACCGCGTGCCTGGATTCACCCTGCCCTGACACGTCTCCCCATTTCCCGTGCGTTTACAGCACCTGGTACTCTCGAGCACACACACACACGCTCCTTTGGCTCACCTGAATTACACACGTGGAAGCGGTGCTGCATCTGGCCCGTTATATTCAGCTCATTTCAGTTCCTTATGAAGACGTGGCCACGCACAGAACCAGACGTGTGGTTGGAATAGTCTGTATTTGTGCTGGGAACACAATCACACTCCTCTAAAACTTGCTTACTTGTCACTGGGGTGGTGACACCCCCCCGAGAGCTCGTGGAAGAAGCTGCTGATGTAGCCTGTGAGCTTCTGGAAAGCGTCCTGGGTAGGACTAAGCTGGGCCTCTGCTAAATGCTGTCACAGGGCCTGAATTAGGCACTGCTGCAGTTAGCAAGCGCCTGCAGCTCCGAACCTAAATTAGGTGCTTTGACCTGTCCTCTGTTAGAGCCAAGTTCCCTTAATTTTCTGCAGGAGCCTTCGTTAGCCTTGCCCCTAAATGAGGCAGCAAATCTGAATCCTACCTCAGGATCAAGCACTCGTGGTCCCCTGCAGCAGGCTCGCGCGGATAGAGCCGGGCAGCCGTGCAGATAGGAGCAGTAACGAGCGCAAGGGTAGCCATTCATCCTGCTCCAGGTCTGGAGGTTTGCCAAAGCTTATCTCTATTTATTTTGCAAAGGCTTTCCCCAATTAATTAAGTCAGCGAAGTCTCAGAGGAGGTCAGTTTAAGGCACTTGATGCCTAAGTGTTTCTTAAAGTGTATCCAGAATGTGTAATGGCTTTGAAGAATGGAGGCCCCTCACCAGCGAGTGCACTGGGGTCCCTCGGAGTGCCAGAGCGCAGAGGCTGCAGAAGTCACTCCATGACACAGGCCGGAGCTCGGGCTGAGAAATGGGCCTGTGTGAAATTAAATATCACGCTATGTACCATTGCCTACATTTGCTTTCTAAGCCAAAGGACCATTTTTCATTTGAACTAGAGCTAGAACTATTTCTCTCAATGCAATTGTTTTGTGTCGTAACTGTTCCATGAATAGATTGAACTCTTAAAAACCTTTACAGACACGTGTACTTGATGTCACTATTTACAGCAGAAAGTCAGTACTTCATGGCATCGAAAAGTAAGTAAAAATGCCTCAAGAGTCTGTCTGGGCAAGAAAATAATCCTAAAAAAGGACTTGCAGGGCCAAATTGTGTTTGCCCAAGAGTTATAAAACCAAACAAGACTATGTTTTTTAAGCACAGCTATTTATTTAATGGGCTGCAAGAGAATGGGGGCAATATGGCAATATTTTCCCCTTCCTCTATCTCCTCCAATATGTCTGTTAAACAACACGGCTTTTACTGACCATTTCCTTCCTACAGAGCAAGCACTGCCCATAGAATAACACGTTAACATTCCTAACGTGCCGAGTTCATCTTGGTTACATTTTCCCTGCCCTTGTCTTCTAGAGGACGACAGTTATGTCTTACAAAACACTAGCAGAGCATTCATTTCATTCAGTGATGTCACGTGTCAGAGACCTGAACAAATATGCAGAGCTTTACTTTGTGCCTCAGTTGACAAAGGCTGAACTTCATAAATACAGTTTACCGCAGCGGCCTGGAGCTAAAGTTAATGATGAGGAAGAGTATCAGAAATAGCAACGTGCCTTGTAGGAAATGTCACGTGAGTGCCACAAGAATACAGACTCGCTCGGTGTTGTTATTGTCAGTGTCAAGAACGAAGCAACCTGGCAGAGCACTGCAGGAGCTCCTGGCAAAACCCCGATTTAACCATAAAGCTTGATGCGCTGTAAAGGTGCACCCACGCCCTGGGAGGGGGAAGGAAGCCTTTTAATCACTCTGCACTTACCAGGCAAAGCTGTGCACCCCACTTTTTAAGCAGAGCAGAGTGTCAGCCAGCGGTGGTGGAGTTTTGAGAAGTTAATCCTAAGTAATAAGCTGTAAAATAAACATAGAGCTGGGCACAGGCACTATTTCCCAGCCAACTGCTACTGCCCTGATGTAATGTGGTTAGGCTGTAGTGCTGAAGTGGTTAAGTTAGTTAACGTTTCTAAATTGGCACTGTGTGATTTCTAGTGGGAAACATTCAACTGGAATTTTTAAATGCTCAGAATCTTTCATCTCCTTCGCCACAGTCAGGCTATGCCTTGGGAATTTATTGCGGTTTCACTCTGCGTTGCCTCAAACCATTCAAATAGTTTCAAAGAAGCAAAACAGTTTTCTTTTGTTGTTGCTTCCCTTCCCCTCTCCCCCCCTTCGTGCCCCCCTACCCTGATACTGAGCACGGCCGTAGTTTCCCATTCGGTTTGATCAAAGCTCTCTGCACCAATGTAACTTCCTGATCTTACTGGTAACAGAAGTAAATGTTTCCATGTTCCGTGGAGATGGATTGCCAACTATTGACAGAGTTCTGGCATATGGGAATGATTATTTCCTAATTCCCTTTACCTTTTGATCTGTTTTACAGAGCACAGCTGCAGCTACGAAGGCTATAAGGGAGAGCGGCATGAACCTGAACCCAGAAGTGGATGGGACCATAATTCGGGTGCCAGTTCCTAAGTGAGTATTGATGGCTGCCCGAGTCCATCGTCCTGCAGGGTAACGCAGCAGGTTGCAGTGAGTGCCCTTCAGAGGGTAGGCATGCACGGCTGCTGTAATGTTGTGATGCAGCTGCTTTCCAAATAGCTGTACTTCAGGTTCAGGAAAAAAAAAAAAAAAAATCTGAGTCCCTAAAAGCGTCTGGTGGAACCTCTTCCAAGCGTCTGAGCTCTAAGTCACCACATTTTGGCATCTGATAGTTGGTCTTATTGTTCTTTATCTTCCCCCTGAAGAGGAAACTTGGTCCTAGCTGGCTGCAGCACTTTCCAAGAGAAAGCCAAAGGTTTTTGAAGCTGTAGGGGCTGATTCTTTGCTACTCTGCTGTAAATTCCTTGAATTACACCAGCGTAGAGCAGCAGTAACGCAGGAGTGAACCAGTGGTTTTAGGGGTGAATAGCACCTTGCTGCAGGTAACACAAAAAGGAAGAGGTGAAAGAAAGAGGGAGGAAATTGATGGCTTTGACTGAAAAAAAAATCCACTCCCTGTTCTTGTGTAATGCACACTGCGTGGAAATTCTGGTATGGGGCCGATAGAAAAGCAGGCTGGTCCTGGCTGAGGACCGAGCATCACTTCCCTCGCCCAGCACGGGTATTCCAGCCCTCGGACAAGGCAGGAGGTGCCACCACATCAGTGCTTGGGTTTGGATCAGGAGAGCGCTTTTGAAGCGAGCCCGATGATCCCTGCTCAGCGTGCCCGGGGCTGCGGCAGGCTGGGGTCCCTGCCTGGGAGCGGGGGGGGCCTGTCCGCGGAAATGAAATTAGAGGGGAACCCTCTGGGAAACCTGGCACAGGGGCCGTAAGCCCTGCTCTGCGCCCAGGTTTGGGCGGTGCAAGGAGAATTCACGACTTCCCGTGGGTGCTTGGACCGTGGCGCGATGGAGCCGTCTGAATACCCCGGGCAGGTGGGGATGGACGTGGTCTCACACCCTGGGCTTCGGGGGGGCGGCGGGGGGCTGCGAACGACTCCCACCGAGGGTGGAGACGGCTCCGTACCCTGCCGGGGCGCACAAACACCTTGCACGTGCGCTGCGTTTTACAAGCAGGTGACTTCTCGGTAAAGACGAACCAAGTGTTTCTCGTGCTTGAGATCTACTTTTAAAATTCTATGGAATTTTATCTAGCATTTTGATCAGAGAAGTCTAATTGCAGCTTTCCGTTGCTGTCGGTGAGAGGGAATGACATTATCATTCTATTTGCTGATTTTCTTTTCCCCGTGCTCCCTGCCCTTCCCCCATTCCTCAGGAGAGGAGGCAGAGGAGGAGGAGGGCACCATTATCTTCATAATTGCTGAGGCTCCTGGGTTGCTGCACAGTGGTTTGATTGTTAATGGGCACTTGGGTCATCCTTGAATATGAATTGCAGGGGAGGAAACTCCAAAACTACAAATCCCAATCTTTAAAAAAAAAAAAAAAATACTGTTTTTTAAACAAATGTGTACTGTCTGTCACTATCTTCTGCGGTGCTGCAGTGCAAAAATGAGTCTTCTCTCCCCAGGGCGGGTCTGCCCGGTGTGCTCCCTTGCTCCCTGCCTGTTGGCAGTCTGGGGAGTCCCAGTTAAAGAGGTTTTTGGCTGAGGAGACGTGTCCTGTCCTGCAGGTCTGCCCTCACGGGCACCGCCAGGCCCGGGTGCTCAGCCCCGCTTCAGTAACACGACTGGGTCTTCCAGAGTTTCATCCATTTACCCAAAAGACAGGCAGTTTCAACCTTTTAAAACCTTCTAATGTGAAACGGGGCAGAAATAATCAAATTCTGCTAGAGGCCTCTCTTTAATACTATATCCCTGAATTACTTTTTTTCATTTCCTAAGTTTTCCATTTTCCCAACTCTAAAGACTTTTATGAAAGAATATATGACAGACAAGATGTGGTGAAATTGCCAAAATTATGGCAGGTGTGCAAAATGAACAAACAAATCAGAAATTAAGAGACAATATTATTTCTGCAAAAATTGGTTCTTTCATGAGGGCAGGCACAGTAAAAGTAAGATCAAAACCAAATTGTCCTTTCCTATTATCAAAACCACTTTTTAGGCTGACCTGTCAGCTGGACACACGTGTCATATTTTGCCTTATGCAGGTCCAGCTATGCTTCAGTGCTTGAGAGCATTTCAACTGAGCGTTTTAAAATGGAGTTTACTTTTCAGTATTTATTCTATTAGTTTAGTTTTTTCATTGCAGTTTTAACGGAAGAAATACACTCATTTCATTCGTGTTTACTTCTGCTGCCTGCTAGGATCCCCTCTGCTCCCTAAGGCATTCGCCTGTTTGTATTGCTGGCACTGCGTAGGCAATATTTATTTGTATAAAAAGTATTCTCTGAGGGCTTAAAAAGAAAAAAAAAAAAAAAAAAGAAAGAAAACCAGCCATGGGAACATTTGTATTGGTTGATCTCTTGGCCAAATTTGACCTGACCTTGTGTCTTTTATGGAATTGCCTCATTTTTAGATTCATCTTTTTTGGACCCATTGTGTTACACTGGATATTGTTTGTAAATTAGTAATATTTTTGCACATGCTTTACTGAAAGCCAGATGACTCATTTGAAAGTTTAATGACTCATTGTGAGCTTTTTTCCCTTTGCCCTTTAAGAAATATGCAAAGATACCTACTATGGGGAGAAAGGACGCAAAAAATTTAATTTGAAAAAAACCCAAAGCTGTTTCTGAGCTGCGTTGCTCCGGCTCGCTCATCGTCAGAAGTCTCTTTCATGCTTTTTGTTGAGCAATATACGTTGCACCCTGTGTTTATCTGCAATTATGCATGCGGAGTATTTAGTTAAGCCTACTTTCCTTTAACTGATCCCTCTCGTTCACAGGAAATTCCTAGCATTTGAGATACAGAAATTACTCTTACCCGCATAAACGTCTTGCGTTGGAGGCGAGACGCGGCCTGCGTCGTGGTCGCTGCGGGTCTGCTCCTGCCCTGCGCGGGGAGAGGAGTGGCCGAGGGCTCCAGGGCTTAAACCACGGGGTGCTGGGGGGGAAGGAGAAAAAGGGGAGATGTCACCCGTGTTTCTGAGTCGCCGGGCTCTGTCCTGGCCCTGGCGGGGCAGGACCGGCCCGGGGGCAACGGCAGCTTTGAGCCGCTGGTCCCACGTTCCCCCCCTGGGAGATCGGGGTCCTTGTCCCCGTTCCCCACTTCTGGCACCCCTTCCCCAGGTTCACTTCACACCTTTTTTTTTTTTTTTTTTGGCTTTAAAGAGGGGGTAGGGGCAATGGTTACTAGACAGAAAAGAAAACATATCTAAGAACAGCTTAAAAGTCCCAGATCTGGAGGCAGGATTAAACAACTGTCCTTAGAAACCACGGGCCTGGCTCGCGTTGATGGAGTCCTTAACCAGAAACAGCATCTGCTTGAAAAAGTGTCCGTTTCTGGCATGGTTGGTAGCATTGCTGAGAATTTACACACAGTCTGGCTGGAACATAAAACCCTCTGAGAAACTCCACGGCGCTGCGCAGTGATAAAAAGAAATTGGTGTTAATAAAGACAGACAAGGAGGCATGAAAGCTGTGACCCCGTGCCAAGAAGCATAGGAAATCTGGCAGCGTTGCATAAACAAAAACATTTCCTTAAAGGCTCGGCAGCCCCGAGGAGGCGAGTGATACCCTCGGCGCAATTCGCAGGAGCGGGACGGCGAAGAGCTGACGGCAAAGCTCGCTCTCCCCCAGCTGAGGCAGCCCTGCCGCCGGCCGGCTTGCCTCGCCACCCAGCAGGAGATGGGAGAGATTTCCAGCTCCCTCCTCCAAGTTCAGGAGCCGGGATTGACTCCCCGCCCACCCCCCAAAAAAGCTGCCCGAGAATCTGACCTTCACCTGGACCTCTGGTTGCGAGCCGGCTTTGCTGTTTCGCATGTGCCGCGGGACCTCTGGCTGGGGAGATCGAACTCGAGAAGCCCTAAAGGCATCGGTGTTGGGATGCAGAGGAAACCACAAGTAACCCCGCTCACTTCTCATTAGGCATTCGGTCCAGGCTCGAGCCTGCGCTGACCAGAAGCCTCTTGCCACATGTGAAATTCGCTGGCCGTCTCCCTCCAGCTATCCCTCAGCGGGGAGCAGGACTGCAAAGGGCGGGGGGTACCACGGCTGTCGGGCTGGGTCGCTGCTCTCTGGGTCTGTCAGCTTTTCTAGCCATCCCAAATTCCTGTAATTACTAATCAGTTCTGGGAAGCTGTGAAGTAGAGATAACTGGAGAGAAGCCAGAGCCTCTGCAGATACCTGCTGTGAGCGACCTGGCTGCCGAGGGAAGGTATCGGTGCTTGCGACTTGCTGGGCCGAGCACGAGCTCGTGAAGGGCCAGGGGTCTCATCGTGCCCCGGCAGCCTCCCCGTAACGCACACGGGAGCCCCCATCCCACGTTTCCTGAGCTCTCTGCAGAAAGAGTCTTGACCTCAGTGTTTTGGTGACCCAGCCTGTTGCAGCCAATTTCTAAATACTCCTGTGAAATGTTTATTTTGCAATATCTTCTGCGAGCAGACGGACGCTCTCTTGCTAGTGAGTCTCGGTGACTGCACCAGGATTTTTCATTCTCCAAGCAGTCTGGAAACTTCAATAGCCATGAAAATGAAAATATTATTGTTAAGCATTAGCAATTGATGTTGACAGTAATCAGCTGTAGGTGCCGGAGTGTTACCAGAGCTGAGGTGACACATCAGCCATTCCTGTGCCTTATTTAGATGGCCAGACTCCCTCATCACCTGCAGTTTTTAGTCTGGGATGGAAAGTTGAGGATTTTTCTTGTGAAACCACAGCAATAACTGGCCCCACATCATGGGGAAGGTGGAGCTGAAGTTCTCCTGGGCCAGGTTACCTAGCCATGTCAAGCATCATCCTCTTGTCAAACTGCGTGTTCACATCATCTTGGTGGGAAAGGCTGGTCATGATGAGCTGGGATAAGGTGGAGTGAAACAAACTCTGTAGCTTCCAGATACATAATTCAGGCTCTTCAGTTACAGGGAGACAATACTGAATTTCAGGAAGGGATGGAGGTTTCCTCCTGGCTTTGCAGGATTACACTTTTCAGCTCCATCTCTCAGGTCTGGAGTTGGATTTTCCCTCTTTCCTGCAGATGCTTTGGCAGCAGAAAACAGGAAGGTCTGAACATTTCAGCATGACTTTCAGGCACTGCAGTGACAGCTATAGAACAAGTAAGATTCAGACCGAGTCCCTCAGCTTAGGGCTGTGCTGAGAACTTTCTGTTCTAGGCTCAAGACTTGCTTCACTGGGGTGTGCTGCCCCGGTGACGCTGTGCAGGGGTGGCCGATTCACCCAGGTGGACCCAAGCAGGATAAAAACACTCCCTGAGCTGTTAAATCCCTCTGCCCTCGCGACACAGATGTGGCCTCCATGCAGAGTGAGTTTGTCTCAACACAGGCAGATTTGGGGCGTCCCTGGGCAGCCCGGCTCGGTGCTGCACGGCAGCTCTCTAGGCCAGTTGGAGAGGTGCCGTGGCCGAGAGGATTGCTGCATGTACCTCAGGTCCATCGCAGAAAATAAATCTGGCTGGGCTACACCTGACACTGTTTTTCCTTTTGGTGTTTTTTCTTTCCCTGCACTGCTAGGGTAACAAGAGAGCACAGGGAGAGCCTGGCCAAGCTTGCCAAGCAGTCCACCAACAAGTCCAAAGAAGCCCTGAGAAAGGTGCGAAGCAAAAGCATCAACCAGATAAAGAAGTTCAAGAACAAAGTGTCTGAAGATACCATCTGGATGCTAGAAAAGCAGGTAATTTTTTTTTTTTTTTTTTTTTTTTTTTTTCCTTCTGCTGTATCGTGACATTTCACAGCTCAATGGTGCGTTTGTCCCAGCCCTTGCCGACAGATCTCCAGCACTGAGAACCTGGCTGGAGAATGGGTGGCCCTGGGCTGGATTTTCAGAGTCGGCAATGGATGTTGGTGTTTGCTTTTTCTTTGTGAGATTTGGAGCTGCAATCTCGGAGGCAAATTTATGATATGAACCATTGTAAACTGACACATGAAAAAAAAAAAAAAAAAAAACAAACAAAAACCAAACACGTTATCCGAGAGCTTTTATACTGTGAGGGATTATTGCGCAAACCAGCTGAACTTGGGGAACAAAACGACCCCCATCCATAGCTTTACCACCATTTACACAGTGCCTGGCCACTGCAGAACAGCTGGTGTTAATGAGGATTGCTTCAGTTTGTTATTAATGAAAAGGCTAGCAAGATTATCTCTGTTAGGAGTTTTTGGCTCCAATTCAGGAAAATACTTAAGCACATGCCTAATTCCCTAAGAGCAGATGTCACTAAAGTCAATTACTTGGGCATAAACTCAGGCACAAGCCTAAGTGTTTTGCTGAATTGATGCCTCTGAAGGCAGGCCATTACTTTTTAGCTGTTTGTTTATTAACAGCTAAAGTTAGATACATTGCAAATGCTTCAGGACAGTTCTCTGTGTGCTCACAAAAATAAACATTGATATACAGAGCATTTGTGCAAGCAGGAAAAATGGCCATGCTATTGTAACTGAATCCTGTTGGGAAGCAGTTCTCCCAGAGCAGACAGATGGTTTTCTGCATTTGTAGAGGTAGCGTCTCAAGTCTAATTTTTGCTTGTACCCAAATTTTTCAGCATGAGAAAAGGTCATTATCATATACCCTGGACCTTGGGAGCATGTGCATCTTAATCAGTCCTGTAAAACTAGCACAGAAACCCCGCACTATGTGCTGCAGCCTTTATCTGCACTCACTCAAATAAGTGCATGCACATTTTGGTCCTGTTTACATGCTTGCTATGCCCGTCCTGTGTTACCAGAATACCTAATCCCTGGGCAGGGCTTTAACAATCAATGTTTATTTAATTTTACAAGAAATAAGCAGATCTGTTACTTGGTGTGTGAATTCTTAGCGTGTACTAAGGCTGTGCTCCTGCTATTGCCTTGCTTGTTCTAATAGTGGGAAGGTTGCAGGAGGTAGTGAGATGAGCCCTCTCTTCTCTGGTGCCAACACCAGCAGGTTGAATAAGGAACTTGTGAAGCTCAGCCAAGAGTTTGTGTTGGGTGTCTCTTCAGAGCCTTTGACCAGTCCCCGTTGTCCCTGTTCAGATGCAACACCGGCACAGAATCACTGAGGGCTGCTGGAAGCCCCCAGGAAGAGCCAGTTAGTGCCCCAGCACTATTTTGGGGTTTATTAGGACTTTAGGCTTTGTTTCAGGAGGTCATCCAGTCACTCCTTTCCCTTTAAACTCTGGCATCACCTACCATACAACTCAGACTTGTGCTATTTTGACACAGATCCAGCAAATGGCAGACAGCACCACAGCGGAGATGGACAAGCTGCTGGCAGCCAAGACCAAGGAGCTGCTTGGATGAGCACCATCCGGATGGGCATGCTCCCCCCCTCGAGCAAGAACGGGCTGCCACGCACCCCAGTGGCACCTCTGCCCGGAGTCACGGCCTCTGGAGGGCTCTGCCAGTTCTCCAGAGCAGCTCCGTGCTTTGGCTGCTCCGATCCCCCACCTTGGATTGTGCTGGAGGGACGGGGGAACTCTCCTCGCTGTTTTTCATCCAGGTGGCAACAGAAGTGGGTGAACTAAGGTTCAAAATAAAACACCAGGAAGGGGGAACTGGAGGCTGCTGGAGGAGCTCCCAGCACAGAGGCCGAGGCACGGGGTGGGGGGAGCGACTGCCCAGCTCGCCTTCTGCACCGTCCGGTTTGTGCCCCAGCACCACGCGCCAGGGAAACCTGCGCTGTCCTGCTGCGAACCTCAGGGTTTATTTTTGCTTGAAATAAAGTTGAAATGAGATGTGAAGGAGCAGCCTTGGGTCAGGCAGTTCCTGGTCGCTGTGTCCCTGCCTTGGCTTCACGTCTCCCCCCAGAGCAGCGTTCGCCCGTTGCCGTGGCCAGCAGAGTTGCCTGCAGCCTGGCCACGGGCAAGGCACGAGGGAGCTCCCCACGGAGGGGTGCAGGGGAGACAGGCTTTGCAGGTCTCTGGCCTTCATGGATAGAGAATGAAAGCCAGCGCTGTCAGTATGAGTGAAGACCGAAAGCCAACACAGGAACTTTCCAAAACCAGCATCATCTGCCCTCACTGACCAGTTACAGAATACCCATGCGAGCCACTAGTACCCCATTTTAGGGGGTGGGGGAGGTAGAAGCAGAACGGGGTCCTGAGAGCATCACACAGCTCAACTCCTCCCTACCAGCAGGTACTTCCCGACAGCAGCAAATGGCCTCCCCGCAGCCCCGGGTGGTGGCAAGAGGAGGGAAGGTGGTGGCCAGCCCCGCAGCCCCGCTCCCAAGGCGCTGGGGTTCAAAGAGCACCGAGTGCTCTACAGTCCTTAAATAAACAAATCCCAAAAAGTTAGTTTGTGCGCAGTGGGGAGGGGGGGAAGAGGATGAAGGATTTGCTCTGCTAGGGCCCCACATGTCAACAATTTCTCTGCTTTGTGTATTTTGGCCAAAGCGCTTACCATGATAAATGAATAAAGGAAAATGGCAAGCCCAGGGCAGTTACATGGCTCAGTAAATTGCTTTCAGCCAATTACTGTATTTCTTTGACATTTATCAACTAGTTTTGTTCTTTTTTTTGTTTTGTTTTTTGCTGTTGTTGCAGCCTCAGCATCCCAGTAACAGCCTGGGCTTAAAGGGTTTCCCTGGTACCTGTGGCTGCTGAGCTGGGTGTTCCTTCCTCTGAGCCAGGGTAGGTGAAGGAGCTGCTGCTGGCTCAGGCTCAGCTTCTCCAGCCTCTTCCCCTTCTCCAAGTCGAAGTGATGGTGGTGGGCTGGTGGAGGCAGGCAGCAGAGCTGCAGGCGGTCATCGCACAGAGGAACTTCCCCAAGTATTTACTGCTATACCTCACCCTGTAGCATCTTACTCTACTTCACATGAATTAAATCCTAACGGGAAAACTGCACCAGGGCCAGGCTGGGGATGGAGCTGCCCGTCCCCAACACACCTTCAGGAGACAGGGGAGGGGGGTCCAGGGCTGGCCACACTGGTGAGGCAAAACGAGGTGCAAAAATAGCTTTTAAATACGAAGAAAGGCAGAGACCTGTTTGAGCGCCCGCAGCTGACGACCCCATGGCAAGGGAAGGTTTGGGGAGTCTGCCTGCATCCTTAGCTCACACCCCCCCGCCCCCCCCCGTGCTCTGCATCAGCCAGGACCAGCAAAGCACCCGCAGATGCTGCTCTCACCCCCGGTACCAGCGAAGCGGCGCAGGCAGCACGTGAGCCCACGGAGCCGCGACCACCGCGGCCCGTCCTGCTCCTGGTGGGACCTCACACCGCGGGACGGGCGGACAAAAGCAGTGGCTGTAGCCCCAGCACCTTCCAGCCGCACACGGCCGGGTGCACAGCTGCGTGCTGGACCGGGGGGGGGGGGGGGCCACCCCCCGCCTGCCACGGGCCACTGCGAACCACCCAGGAGAAGAGAGGACAGACACTCACTGCGACCGCAGCCGGCTGGCGCACCGGGTGGGCTCCGGACAGGTCCCACTTTCTCTTTTTGCCACCCAAATCGCCTGCTGCTCCACTCCAGGAGCTGCAGCACAAGGCCTGCCTGCTCCAAAGAGCTTCCTCCACCAGCATCAGCAAGAACCTCTCCTGCTTGGCTCCAGGCTGGATTGCACCCAGAGCTGATAAGAAGCTGCAGCTGATGCTGTTGGCGGGTGGGGAAGGAGCTCCAGCTGCGCTGAATAACCCTGGAGGGAAAGGGACCACGGGCCAGAAAATGTGTGGAAGGTGGATTTGATGTCAGTGATGTCTCTTCATCACCAGTTTGGCCTCAGCAGCAAGTGCCATTGGGTGGGTGAGGGCAGGGGGGGGAAGGGAGGGGCCGTGGCCGGACCCCCTCAAGCTGCACCCCGGGGTCTCCAGGCCCTGCCACGCTCACCGGGAGCCCTCCCAGCACACACAGATTTGGGGCACCATCGGGTTCCCCGCTGCCGTGGCCTGGCGGGGTGGTGGTCCCCGAGGGGGATGCGCCCCCGGCACGAGCGGTACCCCCTGTGAGCATCCCCGCTCATCGCACCCCAGGCAGAGATACCCCCCCCCTTCCCCGGGGCTGCGCTCGGCTCTGCCGGGACACTCCGGGTTGCTCCGAGCCGCTGAACCGGGGGGGTTGCGGCAGGGACTGGGGTGGGCACCGGCCTCCCGCCGCCTCCCTGACCGAGCCCCGCGCCCGCGGGAAAACACAAAGTGGAGGTGAAAGGGAGGAAAAACTCCGAGGAAGCTGGAAGCTCTCGACACAGTTAAAAACCAACATTGCTCTTCAAAATAGATGTGATTGCGCTCCTTGTGAGTCATCGAGCAGAGACACCAAGATTGCTTTGTGCCAGGGACGAGCCCGGGCGCTGATTGTGTGCCGCCCGGATTTGTATAAAACAGACCATGGATGGCATGTCAGAGTTTACAGCTCGCATACATTTTCAACAGTGAGCTTTGCAAAATGTATCAATGTAATCTCTGCCTCCTATATTCCGTGTTGATTAGACACGATTTCTGGCTGGATTTTCAGAAAGCTCAAGTGCTTTTTTAATCACTACAGAAGCTCATTATTGCTTTCCAGTGACTCTTATGTCCTTCACTTCTCCTTTCAGATTAGAGTCTATAGTCAGATGAATATTGGATGATTTCATTACATACAAATGCAATCAACAGTTTTGCATAAATTTCTCCTCTTTTCTTGAGTTTCAATTGACCTCAGCACCCGTGGAGGCAGGCGCAATACACATGTAAATGAGCTGGCGTTGCTGCAAAGACACGGATGCGGAGAAACAAGATAAACTGTCAGATAATATTCAGGATTTTTAAGAGATCAAAAAATACTTCCTCGTTCAGCCGAGCCGTAAAAATGGCACCTTCAGCTGCCGGGGAATTTGCTTTTGTTTTGCTCAGTGTCTGGCTGTGGACAAAGGCCAGGAGCGGCACCGGCCGCCGAGCGAGGGGCTGAGCAGTGCCGGGCCGGGCGCGGCAGCGCGGGGACGGGAGCGGGGTGTCCGCGGGGTGCGGGTGGTGACGGCACGGGGCTCCTGCTGACAGAGGAGCCGCCGGTGGGGTCCGGCCAGCCCAGCAGCCCACCGCCCCGGCGAGCTGCCCGCCGCGGCGCCGGCCACGGAGCCGGGCTTGGCGGCCGAGCCCCGGCCGATGGTGGGGACCACCGTCCCCAGCTCCCGCCCGTCACCATCTCAACCAGGGGATGCTGAGTTCAGACCCTCCTGGGCCCCCGACTCCTCCCGGGTGTCCCCGAGCATCTGTCCCGTGGCGGGGGCACTTGCCGGGGCGCAGGGCTCGGCCGGAGGCTGCCCTCCTCGTACCGCACCGGCGGGGCACAGGGGAACCACGCGTTCAAAATATATTTAAGCTAGCGCTCCACGCGAACAATCAGAGCTAATTTAAACAAACTATAATTAAACATAAAGGACCTCTTGGTAGGGAAGTCAGGGAAAACTGTTAGCGGTTACTTTGGATGTGAAGCCCTTACCTTTAAAAGAATAATTTTTGTGCTAATGCCAGCAATCCAGCACTCCCACACTCGCCTTTGGGGGCCGGTGGGGAAAGAAACTCTTGGTTTCTTTTGATACCTTTATGCACTAATCTTCTTAACAGATTTTTAATTAATGGGAACAGAGCACTTTGCAGCCGTGAAATCTATTGGTGCAATTGCCTGGTGGATTAGTCCCATTAACCACACAAATTACCTGTCTCCAGGCCGCCAGCCCCACCGGGGAGCTCCCCATGCTGGACACACCGAGCAGCCCCATTCTGAAGCAATTTTGATAAAATAAACTCTCTAATCAGGTAAATAATTCCATAAGGGAAATGGCTGCCTTCCCGCAGCCCCCCTCCAGCAGGACCTGGCTACTTTCAGGGGAATGCAACATGCCTCCAATTACAGATAAATCTCCAGCTCAGAGACCGTTTGGGAGAAGCCCATGGCACACGGGACCCCCTCGAACCGCAGCGGCCGAGGAATTAAGGCATTTAAGCTGTCAGCCGGAATCTGGCCCGACCCCTGATTACCTGGGGGGACGTGCGGCGTATTTAGGTTCACGTCCGTTGCAATTTCCTGGCCTCCAGCGTTGATCCCGAATGACTCGCGTCCGTGTCAGGTTCCTGCCCGGGGTCCCTCCGACACGTGGCCCCGGGCTCGGGGACGCCGACCTTTGGGCAATTAAGGACATCCAGGCCGGGCTGAGCCCGGAGAAGTGGAAATGTGCAGCTGCCCCCAGGAGCTGCTGGGTGAGAGGAGAGCCGCTTGCGCCCATTTCACAGCAGCACTCAGCAAGGCTGCACGGCTCTGCTGACTGCCATCATCTCCCCGGACCCTGGCGTCCCTTCCCAGCCCTGTGGGTTACCATGGTCTGTTGTAAATTTGGTCCTGAACCCGATGGAGACTCCCTCGGCTCCCCCTCTGCTTGGACCTTGAGATGGGGATGTGCCACCCCAGGAATGTCATTGGGACCCACGCACGGTGGGCACAGCAGGGTGCAGGGCACCCACGTGGTGTCACGCGGTGACACGCAGCCCCAACACGCTTCCCAGTGCTCGCTGAAGCAGGTGCCCAGCACCCGGGGCTCTGCCAAACCCTTGGCCAGGGTGACTCCAAACCTGCCGCCACGGTGGGGACAGCCACGTGGTGAGGTGGCCTTCGAGCATCCCTTGAAACGCTCGGCTGGGCGATCCCTGCGCCGGTCCCTCACCCTAGGATGGAGGACCCCAAAACACGGGTGGCACAGGGCTGCTCTTCCCCCTGTGACGGGAGACTAAAACTCCCCCCCACCTTGGCTGCCCTCTTGGCTCCTACCCCGGGAA